GCATGGAGATCACAGCGATATGATTAAATCTCCTCTCTAGCTGTTGTACATTTCCTTGTAAATTAGTGAAGAGAATTTGGTGTTAGATGAAGATAACAACTTCTACTACCTTCTGATAAGTTTGAGTAGTCTCATTACCTGTTTCCTGGATAATGTACGGATATTATAGGGAGAAGTTACGCATCAATCACTTCTGGGAAAGGGTCAATAGAGCGGTGATCAAGCCAATTATGGTCGATGTTAGTCGCTGTAAAGTTACTGGTGCCTCAAAGGTTATCTGAAGGGATCCGCGTCACAAAATTGTAACAACGAATCAAACTTGAACAAAGCTAAAAGGCAATTTGGTGATTAGGGAAATTCAAGGGAAATTTTTCGATTGTATGCTATTGTAATAATGTTGAAGTTAAATATTGTTTTTGAATGTTTTTTATTTGAATCTTGTAAAGTGTTAAATGCGACATAAACAATGATAGAGATCGCCTGTAAAACGGTAGTTATGGTGTTTTAGCTCAGGAGTTTAGATAAATTTTTGCTAAGTCACTAAGGTATTTTATGTTTTTTTGCAAGCTTTGATAGTTTCACCTGCAGTAATCAAGAAGTGTAGAATCTGTTTCTTGTTGCGTTTAAATCTGGGGGCAATTCATCAAAATTCATGGCGAGACAGTTTTTGAGTGGCACAGCTCATTTTCTAGACGCTCGGCTAGAGCGTCTGTACTGGATGTTTCTTGCGAGTGAGACCAAATTTTGATGCTATATTCCTTTAGCTTAGAGTAGCAACAAAATTTGAGGATATAAATAGCATTATGCTCTACCTTCCCATCATGAAGCGCCTCTGAACGTTGCGGACAAATGGCGTATCCCTGAAGAAGAATCCTACTCCTGCCACCACTACGCACAGGCCGACCAACACCAGTAACGCTCGTAGATAACGACGCGTAGAGCGATTATTTGAGCATTTCTTCTCCAACATGGCAGCGAATCTTTTTGAGGAAGACAAGGAAACGATCAAAGTTTGCGTCCTTAAAACTCACCAGTTGAATTATTTACCGGTGGTTTGTAGTGAAATGAAACGGTTGGCAGAACTCGTTCCTGTCGGGTTGCTAAGTCACCCGTGTTGACATCCGGTACCCGTTTGGTGTTTTGAATTCAAACCATGTGCGTGAAGTGCTTCTTAAAAGCCAGTTTTGACTTCATCTTACGAACCTCATGGACTCCGGCGGGGATCTTGGCGGAACCCCGGGGGAGTCTCATCTCGGAACACAAGCTGATTCTATCTGGATAACGTAGTTTACCTTTTCCTACTTGATATAATCCGTGCTCTTCTATGCTAACCCTCAAGTTTTCTAGTCTTATGACTTACAACGTGCAGAAAAGACACAGTATGAAACTGTTATCGGAGGAATTGCTACGTTCAAATTCAAGTTTGTGTTTCGCTGACATTGTACAGTTACAACTGCACTTATAATGGATACTGTTAAAATTATTGAAATAAAAAGCGGTGTGACTCTTACTTCAGGAGAAAGGCAATGTTTGTTATCACAGTATTTTGAAACATTCTGTTATTTGCCCTACAGTATTCTCTCCTTCCCATAACCCCCTTTCGACGCTTACTATCATATATCATATCCTCACGCAGGATGTTATGGTATTCTGAAGGATAAATCGTTGCAGATTTATCTCGAATACGATAAAATGGAAAATTCACGATCATTAATAAATATTTTATTGCTTTAAATCATTCTCCTTCTAATATTATCGGTTTAGTTTCCTCAGTTGGTCTCGTCAATCTTCTTGGATACAATTTTTTTTGTTGCAAGTCTGATCTAGAGGCACCCACACTCTGCAACGAGCTGTTTTGATAGTTTTCAAATTTATATTTTTTTTTCATCATCTTATGTTTCTCTCATTGAGCTAAGAATATTTTCGAGTTTCGGTCCTGTGAATCCACATGTCAATGAATGACATCCATATAGCGTGTGGGATCTTGCCTTTCAGGTGTATCACTGATAGAATTTATACAATTCATCTACAGGCTCCAAATAAAAGCTTATTGTTTTAAGAAGTGTAAACCAATTTTGTCAAGGGTGAGTTGGATTTAGAGAGCTGCATCGGTACGTTATCGCAATTTTAAGTTAATATCCTGAAAACTACAAATCCAAGACTACCTTCATACTAAATCTATTCATCATCCGCTCTAGGAAATATCCTGAGGGAAAATCTATGGTTTTTTTTAACATTTTTTGAGTGTTTTGTTTTTGTTTTTTTGTTTTGTTTGTTTCAAATACACCAAAACTTCTCAAAGAAAATCTCTTTCAGCTTTAGTACTGATTCCTTGCTGCTCTTTTCGGTTATAATCTTTGGGGTACTATGGATATTAAACTGAGTTTTTAATCTGTTTAACCTATAAACTATTTTTTCTAAATAAATTTCCATTCTGTTCTAAGAAATTGCAGAAATACATAACATGTTTTGAACTTCTGTTGGAAAGAGACCCTTGTATCTACGCAAAACTTTTACAACAAAACTGATACGTTTTATCATGATGACAAATTGTTTTTCAGTGGATGATAAGATAGTTCGTTTTTTACAAAGGAATCGTCAAAGTTTCACTAAAATTAAGAGCTTTCCTCAAAAAAACTCTATTGAATGCTTGGATAATATAATATGCTTGTGTCAAACCATACTGCCGCAAAACGAAATAATTATAAAGAGAGAGACGGTTTATTTATGTCTGTTTGATTTGTTTGACAACTTAGCTTATTAAGCGGAGTCGCACTGTTCAAGCTGGGACTGGCTGTGAGCGACAACGCTTAGTCATAAATCTTCCTGTTCCCTTGTTGGCGCAGTTCTAATTTAGATTGTCTCTATTTCGCGTCCACGCAAACTTCCCAGCAGGTCTAAGAATTAACTTAACAGTAAAGCGTTCAGGCAAATTGAAAATTTATGGCAAGTCTATGACTGAGACAAAAGATTTATGGTAACTCTTTCACTTTCCTTGAGCAAATTAAGAAATAAAAAAGAAAAGAATGAACAAAAACATGACTCAATTTATGTATTTTTTCGGAACATCTTGTTCCAGCTGGTTGCATTTTGCATCAATGCTTTAGCGAGCGAGAAGACATGCAGAGTGTATTGAACTTTAGAACTAACGAATGAAAGAAATGACTGGGGTCTGGAGGCACCACTTTAGATGCGCTTTACAGTATTTCTTCTTTTGCAAAACTGACATCAGGGATGAAAAGTGCTTCAGTGTAACTATTCATATCTCTAACTTAAATAGAATTCGGACTCATTTGCTCGACAGTTTAATGAAAATTAATGCAAAAAGTATTGGATCAGCCTTCGGGTAAATAGTCACTCCGCTAAATACCTCAAAAGAAACGAAATTTAACTTAGTTTGCAATTGTTTTAAACTATTTTTTTTTGGCGGGCGAATGGTATATTTATTAAATTCAAAAGTCTCTGGTGAGGGACTTAAATAGATGAAGAAAATCATAAACGGTCACAGCTGGTAAATGGCGCAAATTTTCCCGCGAATGCTGACGAACTAAAGCAAAACACCCTCTGGCGACGTTTTAATTTGAAATCTATGTTTATTCGCCGTTTGAATCCAATTCAAATCACAAGTATTGGCAAAGGAAAACTCAAAGGCCTTTTATCTGTCTGATTTAACTTTCCTGTTCTCGTTGGAATCCAGTCGTCATTTTCTTCGAGAGATTCGAAATCGATTATCGACTCGTTATTTCTTTAAGAAGTTGTTATTTGCTCTCGTTATGTGGTTCTTTGAAGAGCGAGTGTCTCTTTAAGGCGAATTAAAAATATCGTGATGTGAAAATTGCTCGGTGGTTAATTAAGCACGCGCTAGTTGACCTTAACTGATATATCTGCGAGCAGCTCTCAAGCATTTGCAGATTTTGAGATTGCATGGAAATTGGGCTGTGGACACTAATAGTTCAATATGGCCGCTTCCTCTTGACTAAAAGGAAGGCCTTTGTTATCAAGTGACATACACCTTGATCGTGACTTTCCCTTGATTGCCTTGAGACCGCCTACGACTTTATTTATTTCATCTTGATATCCGGAATGACAAGTATATTTTCTGAAATAAACGCGTGCGAAACTGCAAATCATAATTTAATGTTTTCTTTTATCGGAGCGCGAAAACATCATCTTTAAATTCACATGCGGTTTTCAAATGATTACTGTATATCACAAGTCTCGTTTACTTGGAAAACACCTATAGTAACGATAAAAAAACCTTTTTTCCTAGCCTCTTATAATCGACTTGTCTTTTAAAACTCTCGATTCTTTCAAACGTTTTCTGAAAACGCTCCTTATTTTCATCCGATTGGTCGTTTTTTTTCTAACTGCGTTTGATATCGAGTATGTATCTTATCTTGAAAAGGACCAATTTAAATATTCTGTTGAGTGAATAGTGAATCCACTTGGTTAAACGGAAGGCTGTGTCTTATCGAAGCGTTTTGTTTTGAAGAGCGTGCGAATGCCACATCTGTCAATATTGTTTCACAGCGAAGTTCTCACAAAGTGGTAATCCTTCGCTCCCAGCGTGTACAGAATTAGATGTTTCTTCAAAAACCAAAATAAACAAGTTCTGCATAACTTCTTAGATGGAGGCAGGATAAGTTAAAGACCCGTTGATGACACGAGTTATGAATTAAGAAAACTGAGAAAAAAAGATTCACGAAGATGTCGTTATTGTTTAGGTGCGCCTGAGAAGTCATAACTTTGACCGTATTAAAACGTGATTCGAGTCGCATTATATTAAAAAGCTGCTTCCTTATGTGTCAAAACAGTCTTTGTTTTGCAAGTTAGAGGGTATAAATATTCAACAGATGACATGAAAAGAAAACAGAGTTGCGGAAAAAAAATATAATAAAACGAGCGCAACTCACGTTTCAATGTTAATTATTCGCCCTATACTAATCAATCATTCATAACCGTTCGTAATTGTGACATGTGCAATGGTTTTACCGGCGGCGACAGCACATAATACCGTATACATAGATGTCTATAAATTTTAAGGGGGGCTTGATAGAGTCTCTAAGGTCATTGCTTAAGATTGCTCACTCGAGCGTGCAAAAAAATAACATAGCAACAACGATAAGCGACAGCGAACGAGCAGAGCCGACCACGGATGGAGATCTGTTCAGTTTGCGGAGATCATTCCACAGGGCGGCACTATGGAGCCAATACTTGTGAAGGTTGCAAATTATTTTTTAAGCGAAGTATCAAGAAACGGCTGTACTACACTTGTAGGGTGGCAGGATGCTGTCCAGTGAACAAGCGCTTTCGGAATAGCTGCCAGTATTGCAGAATGAGAAAGTGTCTAACGGTGGGGATGAAAAGGGAAGGTGAGCAGCAAACTGACATTTATTTTTCTTTTTCTAAATCATTTCATTGTCTGTCAGGAATTGCTCTCAGTTGGATGATAGATTACTAGTTTAACCTCCCAAATATGTTTGGTGAAATGTCTCCCGGCAAAGTAACTCATGAGATTCACATAATTTGAATGAATTGGATGACTATTTAAGAAAGAGAAAAACATTTTTTCTCTTATGATATATTTGCACAAACTTCGTTGCCAATGTCAGCCGAGAGAAAGATCTGCTTTCGACACTGAGGGACGAAGCAAAGTTTTTCAAACATTTCCAAAACAGATCTCTTGTAAAAGAGTTGTCAAATTTATTCGCAGGTAAGAAACATTTTCACTCTGATAAAATAATAAATACAATTTCGGGGTAAAATATTTGACCAAGATATTATAAAGGCTTTGTTGTTGATGAATTTTCCGTTTTTTTAGTAGCGCAAATATTGTCTTTAATTTCGTTCAGGTATGAGTTCAGATTTATCAACATTACAGGTGAAAGTAATTTGCTCAGCCTCTTGTTTTTCTTCTCTTCTGACGGAGAATCTTTTTCATTTGTTTTCATCAGCTGTACAGCAAACCAGAACGAATGAGTTTGAAAAGGGAAGAAAAAGACACCGTAGCCGCCAGCCGTTGAAAGGGGATATCCGAAGAGAGGCAGATTTTGTGTCCTTGTCGGACTTTGTTTACCATTTGCAGGCTGTTGAGCCTTATCAAAGGCCGCCGGAGACTAAAAGTGATACAAGATCGATTGCAGAAGACAGCACGGCAGCCAGAAGTGAAAGCGGCAGCGTACACGTCGCCACCAAATTACCAGCAGAAAGCACCACAGAGATCGCCGCCCGGTTGTTGTTCATGTCAATACATTGGGCAAAGAACGTTCGCCACTTCGCTGAACTGTCGCATATCGACCAAGTGAGCCTCTTGCAGGAAAACTGGTGTAAAATATTCGTCATAAACCTGGTTCAATGGGCGATGCCTTTCGAATTAGCCCCGCTGGTTGCTGATGTGATGGAAAAAACAGCGAGCGAACATGTGGATAGAGTTCTTCATAACATGGGGAAGTTGAATGAGGTTGTTTTCAAACTTGTGCAGCTCGGTTTGAACAGAACAGAGTTTACCCTTTTGAAGGCCCTGGTACTTTTTAACCCAGGTAAGAAAGACTATGGCAATTTTTTTGTTCACTTTATTCGATGGGCGTCAAAAACGAAATTTGTATCGAGTGGAGATCACGATGCGTTTCGCTTTAACTGAACTGAGGAGTTTCGAGCAACATGCGAATTAACTTTTTCCCTCTGTCTTATTTCTAAAAAGTTAAAATTGGCTGCGGAGTTTATGCCGGCTTTGGGGTCGCTCAAATTTCGAAAAGAAAGAGACGTAGCTCTGAAAGCAAGTTAAATTAGAGAGGAATACAAAGTCGATATATCGCTCGAAAATATGAGACTTCAATGTTGATAATGAAATTATATGTGGGATTCCTTCTCGAGATGCAAAAGTGTTCATGGCTCGTTCATGACCTCCTTCCGTTGCATAGCCTATGACCCTGCTATTGCCCAGTCTATATTTGAACCCATGATAGCTAAAACAGTGTAAATAGCGGATTCAAAAACACGATATCGGCTACAGATTCTTAATATCAACAGTGTTTGTTGGGAAGTTTCGTTTTCAGGTAATACTGATCTTATTGTTTCGTTGTGCGCGACAAATTATCGACTGAAGTACGCCTTTTTCTTGATTTCACAACATTACGTTTATGAAGTGGCTAGAATTAATTCTCGAAAAATTGTTAATCTCTTTTGCGCTTATTCAAGGCCATCGCCATGAATTTGCAAATTAGCATGCGTTTGACACTTTAATACGGAAGAACGGAAAAGAAAGTCGCCCAAGCTAACTAAAATGTATTTAATTTATCGCCATGATCTTTCACCGGAAGTCTGTTGCTGTTTTTTCATTTGAAATTGCGTGATTTCCCTCCTCGTTTCATTTTGTCCATAGCTAGCCTGTTTTCGGCTCCTCAGAGAAATATTCTTAACATGCGGATTAGCAAAGCTTTTAGGGGAATGATTTGATTGCGAACTTATTAAGTGCGAGGGCTGATGTTCTAGACATTAATATTTGTTGAGTATTGAACATTGACTTTCGCCGTAATCGGAGGTTATTCAAAACTGTTTGACTTTGCCGCGAGAGGCCCTTCCGGCTGACGAGTTAAAAATGAGCTAATCGATTTTCTGCGGAAATGACAACGACGATGAGTGTTTTTCCCAACCGAGCAAAATGAGTTTTACAATAAATTGTGAACCCAGGTTCAGCCCAAGGGTAAGTTCTTGCGTGTTTCAATGCAAGTATTAGGCACAGTTTTTTTTTTCCTTTTTTGACTTTTAAATGAAAATCAACAATTGATTCTGCGTCACACCCGTAAAACGTAATAGCTAATGAAATTGTTTTTATATGAATTTTAACGCAATTTCCAATTTCGTGTGCGTGTTTTTTACGTATAAAACAACGTTCTGGATTATTTCTTAAAGCCTTGAATAAATTATTAACTTTCAATTTGATAGTTTTTGTCTGCCAACTTTAGTTGCTTAAAATCTAAATGACTTCAACTTCGTTTTCGACAAGGGAGATGTTTATATCGCGGTAAAAATTCAGTGTTCGCCGCATATGTTTTCAATTCTTTAATTCGTTGTGTGGTAATTGCCTCAAAAATATATTGAGGCTGCAAAGATCGATTTCTATAGCTCTGGGTCATTGAACTGTACTGCGGGAAATATTGGAAGAGGAAGTAGTCGATTGTGCAAACTCAAAGGCCATAAACGTAACAATCTCAATACGAAATCTTTCAATTTTTATAGCACGTTTTTCGCTTTTTCAGAAATTACAATAACTTTTGAAATAGCGAGTTTCTTTGAACTCGTTGCAAGCAGTTTGTTTGTATAACTGAGTTGTGTTGTGCTCAGAACTCGATAATATCTTGTTCTGCATCAGCGATATTCTCCTTTGCCTTATTTTGTTCCTTTTTTTATTATTAAAGATTCAAACTGTTATTTTTTTTAAGAGTTACATTTACTTTCCTTACGGCTGTCGAAACTTCTAACGCGGAAGTCGCAGTGTCTTTCCTCGTCTCGGCAAAATAATCATAAGGTAAAGGTAAAGGGGAAAAGTCAGAGGAATGAAAATAACCAAATCAAATTTTTTCTCGTAATTTTTAGGCAAAATCATTTTTATAACTAAAATGAAAGAGATGTATGTTTTTTTAGACTTACTCGGGACATAATTGGCTGGTCACTGTTTGACACCTTCTGCACAAACAGAAATAAAACTAATCTTATTACCTCGTCTAGATGATATGGTTTCTGCCCTGTGTATGATATATTTATTGGCCTAAGCCATTAAGAAATCGCACTAAAAAACGGGTGGGCGGACCATGTAGTTTGTTAAATCGCACAATTCTGCGTTCTCGAACTTGACGAAAAGGAGAATCTTCCAGCTTTTCTTCTTGAAAAAAATAATTGATATCGCTTCTGAGTTATACTATAGTTTAGGGATTTTTGACATCAGCAGATATTAACAATGGTTCAGATAAAATTTTGGTTTTTATTACATTTCTGTTTGAAACCCATGCAGCTTCACCAATTTAAGGTTTTTACTTCGCCCTTATTTATCTTTTTAGCAATTTTCATTGTTTTATTTTATATTGTATGTTCCCCTACAAATTAAGAAAAAGTTTTTCAGTTAATCTCCTTGGAACAATACATCATATCTCGGGCATTTACCACTTCAATTTTGCAGAAAGTGTATTTCACTTTGTCTAAAGGCGAGGGGTAGCTTTAGTTTTAAATGTTTAATTTTCTTTCTCCAAAATTGCGAATTTCTAATTTTATGATAAGCCATACTCTTAATGATAAATACTGTGACACAATTGTTCACTACCTTGACGCGCGCCCTTCGCCTTTTGTCCCTGCCCCGATGGACTTCAAGCTGTTGGGATTTAAAAATTGCCTCCGAGAATGTATATTTGCAATGATGTTAATTTAATGACTTCTGCTGTTATTATTGAATTTTCCAACAGATAATTACACAAATATAAAGTTTCTCTCTTTCACTAGCTCTTCATTAGTGACACATTTATTCAAAAAGCTTGTAGCCATTTTTAAGCTCACAATTCTATTGTTCTTGTTTGAAAAACCTATTCATCAAAACTTATTTGTTATTTGCTTTGACTTGTATTTTCTGCTAGTGTAATAATGTGGGAAGGTAAAAACCAAGTTTGAACCGTTTCTGACGTTAGATTTCGTTTCTCGTCTTCCATCGAAAAAAAAAGAACTTTAATGCTTTTCAAAAAACCAATTTTCAATTTTGAAGACGGTTTGTGTGGAAAGAAAGCGTTGCACACATAACCAGCTGGTAACATATGGAAGGCCAAACGCATATCAAATTTTTGTTGCGTGCGTCGAACTCGCTATCAGCTCTTTCAGCAAATGGAGACCACCTTTGCAGAACTAACACCATATCTAACTATTAATTGCTGTGAGATCAAAAAGGAATACCAAATTCTTAAAGAAAATTTCAAAAGCTTTGTATTTTGTTGCAAAAAAGAAACAAAAGTGTTGATCATTCTCTTGAGAAAAGAATGAAATTGACATAAGGAAAAAATAATAATTGCTTACCGCTAACTTACATGGCATCAAGTATTTACTAAGTGTTTTAAGCCTGCTATTATTATCAGTGAAAAATGTTTCATCTCGATTCTCTGATAATGCACTTTTTAAGTTTACTTAGCATCAAAGTGTGCCATACTTATTTCCACAAACGTGCTCATTCTAATAAAATTGTGATTTCGTTTCTGTGTAGAAAGTGTTTTTTGTGTCAACAACTGGGAATTTTGTTTTTTTTTCCTTTTTGTCTCAGTTTATACAACATTTTCTGACTTTTTATCTCCATATTTGTGATAATGTTCTCACATACACCTATGTTCGTTTAGGGACGGACAAATCTGTTAGTTTTTATGGTAAAAGGAAATTAAGAAGTTTATTTTCAGTTCCCCTATTACAAAGGTAGGATTGGCGGTTCGATTTCGACTTAAATTTCATCCGCCAATTTTTGCGTAATAAATGAAATAAAGCTTTTCTCTCTCATAACTCAGAGCGTGGATCAGTTAAAAAACATAATTCAAATATTTCATACCGTCGGTAACGTTCTGTACATTTATTTCTCCCTCAGGCCGGTCGGCCATTTTATTTTATAACCATTATGTAAAATGTCAAAAAAATCTCTATAAATGACGAGAGTTTGTTATCATCCATGGCTGGAATAGCGACTTAAATGTGAATGGATGGCGCCTGTAGCGATCATGTTTGACGTGATCAAGTACTATTTCGACTTTTAACCAACAATTCTTCAATTGATGTGTCAACAGATAACGACCAACTCACCGACTTGGTTCAGATCCAAGCAATTCAAAACAAGACGAGGAATGCTCTCGAAGAATACGTGCGCTTGAATCGCCCGGAGTCGTCTGGTCGCTTTGGTCAGCTACTCATCAAACTTACGTCTTTAGGAGCTGTGGAGCCACATATCATTGAGCATGTGTTCTTCAATAAACTTATTGGTGGCGCGTCCATTAACAACCTAGTCGACGACATTCTAAGAGCAAACACACTTATCTCGCACGCAAAAAACTCGGCCGTGTGAACAAGCAAAGGATGCTAACTGTTTTTGCTATAACTGAAGCCTATTTCACAATATTTTAAAACATTTGTCACGAATTGACATGAACTACAAACGCCAAAATCTTAACTATACGCAAACCATGAGAACGCTGCTTTCACTCCAGGTAGTCTTTAAGCGAAAATTGTTACGAGAAGATTCTTATTTTTCTCGCCCTCAGACTTTGCCTAATCAACTCTTTGCGCACTTTTTCTTTTCGGCGTTTGCGCGCGCCATAACAGAGGAGGCAAAGAAGAGGTAACCCCGTCTTGCAGATGATAAATTGTAATTGAAAATTTCAAAGTTTATTATGAAGCATGCCACTGTTTGATGGTAAAAATTCATGGTACAAAAAGCACATCACAGGGTTATAATTTAAAATGTAACTTAATAAACCAAATGACGTGCCAAACCCACAGATAATCACCTTTTGTATAAATTTGTAGATATATACTTAGATATTCTAGTGCTTTAGAATAATAATTCTTCTTCACTATGAGAGCATCGCTGGCAAGTTGAAAAAGTTGTTTTTTGTATGTCTTTTCTGAGTGTTTAATTGTAGCAGGTTCGGACAAAGTGTCACCAATTTTCGTGTACGATTGAAACAAACTGTTTGCGGTTGATTTGGTAGTGACCGCTATCGTTTCTGTGGGGTTAATGAGGTCGTGCGCATGCTTTATTTGTAAATTAAACGTTGGGTTAATAACACAAAAGTATGACGGCACCATGTGAAGAAACATCGGATGGATCGAGGTTTCAAAGAGCTCTGAAAAGAGCTCCAATAGCATACAGTTTGTGGAACGATTAGGTGTTCAGCGAGCTCTGAAAAGAGTTCCCGATCGCATACAGTTTGTTGGGCGAACGGGTGTCCAGTGAGCTCTGAAAACAGCTCCCGATCACTAAAAGTGTGTGGGACGACCGGGGGTTCAGCGGGCTCTGAAAAGAGCTTCTGGTCGTATACAGATTGCTAAGCGATCGGGGGTTCGGTGAGCTCTGAAAAGAGCTCCCGATCTCTAACAGTTTGTCGGTCAATGTACACCATCATGATTTAACTTAGTCTGTAAAACGAAGATTTGACAGCTGATGCGCGTAGCAGTTTTAAAATTCGCGGTAATTGTGAAAATTTTACAAGCGAATGGAGCTGTTTAGTTTGACAGGTGTATTGTTATTCCAGGACTGGGCTTAAACGTAACTGCGACTAAAAATTTTCAAACTGAGAAGGATAGGGGTTCCCGTCGACCAATTTCTGTTGGAGGAAAGATTGAACTTCTATTTGCCGTGCTTTGATTTGTTGTGGGTAATAGGGGTTTTCAAAAATCGCTCTTGAAAATGACTTTCATACCATAAATGACCTAATTTTGAGTATTTTCAAGGGCAAAAGGATAATTCTTCTACTTCGTAAAAATCATTCATTTAGGTGCAAATTGTAGATAAATATTTAATCTTCAAAAAGCCGTGCATTGATTTAGAAGCACGCGCTTCTAAAACTCCGAAAAGTGAGTATTGCGAAGCCTAGTGGGCCAATTGTGGTTCATTCTTTTCTAATTTAGGGCTCTTTAAAGCGGGGTAGCGTTCAAATTTACCGCTTTATCGGTTATGAATAATTAATGATGTCCACGCATTCTGCCTGATGCAGCTGCTGGCCGAGACACTTGCTTTAAACAGAAAATTAAATGGTAAATCCTCCGTGCTATTTTGCCTCCACTACTCAACCGGGCACACAAAAAGTAGATATCTGGGCGCGTTGGCCAGCCAAGCCACCGTTTATTTAACTCCAAATCGATATGTTTACAAAAGTCTTTTACGATTGAAGTAAAATAAATGCACCAAAGCCGGACACGAAAACCCCTAACAACCAGCAGTTAGAAAAAACGGGGAACGTGAACCCCCAACCAAGGCAGCGGTGCCATCCTTGAGGTTTTAGGGTATCCTATGAATGACATGTTACACACAGTTACTTAAGGTAGCATGCAAGTACAGCTCTAAATTTATACAAAAACGAAAACGAAAATGAACAGCTAAACACGGCGAAGGCTGACCGTAGAATGCCATGCCCTACTAACGACCTCTACTTGCAAACCACGATCCCATAACTCTCCGCGTACCTTGCACCCGCCCCCAGTCCTCTGATACGTGCCGGCAAAATATTAATTTATGCTAATTAGGATTACCACAAATTACATTTTTCGATATGCCGGATAAGCCAAAGAAATCTAAATCAACGGAAAAAGACGAATGAAAATTAATGAACGCTTCTGTCTGTTCATCTAACATGCTTTAAATCGGAAAACGATATTCGAACACCCTATCATCAAGGATCATAAGCTAAAATCGTTTTCAAATTAAACGTTAATTTTGACCAAAGATGCCGAAGAATTGCTGTAAAAATGAAAAGAAAAATCTGTTTTCTATCCTTGTGAAACGCCATCATTCAATAGCTCTTAGCCTCATTGCATTTTCCTGCTCATTTATGGAAAATAAGGTGTTACTACACTAGATAGGGTTTTAAAGCGAGTTTTGGTTAGGCGAGTGTCTCGGGACCGCACTACTATTGACCCGCAGGTTCACCATGCTTTCTCGGGTCAGACTTGGCGTATATTCCTTTAGGTTCCCTAGAAATGGCCTGCACCACAGCAAACAAATCACTGCCAGTGACGATGTGATCTAGTTGTGTTAAGCCTTCTATTACATACTTGTCAATGCGATATTTCTTATTATTTTCATAAAATACTCGCTGATCAGGTACCATTTGTATGTGCAGTCGAGGTTTGTTTACCGCCTCAGACAAGTCATCTCTAAACCAGAGTTTGTTCATTAAGACCTGCAGGTGCAAAACTAATGGTAAGCTTCTTTGGTATCAATATGTACAACAGAGGCGGTGTGAATCTACCTTGGAGAAGGGGGACGGACTTGTGCAGACTTCGACATGTTCGACCCACTGAAAATTAATGTGTGTTTCTAAACTTTTATTAGCTGCCTGAGCAAAGAGCTGAACATGGGCAAACGCGTAGCCGGGGGGAGGGGGGGGTGTTTCCTGGGGTGCCCGTGACGCCCCTACACTTTGTAAGCCTTGATTTGAGCAAACAATCTACAATATTCAAGTGATGAAAATTGGTGAGTGCCCTCTGTTTGACACAGTATGAATCCCCCTCCTTTAAAACAGCCTGGTTACGCCCCTGATGGGGTTCAATATACAGCCCATAGAATGCATATCAGCCGAGATATAATATTTTTAGAGCCAAGGAACGTAGAATGAAACGATTGGATGTACCTGTGACACAGCGGTGGGTATCAGTTTCCCGCCAGAAGCACCGATTACAAGTTGCACAACTCCGTTGTTATCGGTAAAAATTGTGGGACACATGTTGGACAAAGGACGCTTGCCTGGCCCAGGATAATTAAATGGTGAAAGAGAAATACCATCCACTACGTCGTCACCAGGAATATCAAAATCTGCCATCTCATTGTTGTAAATGATGCCTGTGGTAGTGGATCGATATTTAGCACCGAACCTGTTATTAAACACACAAACAGTTTGTGGTTATTGGGCTTACTAGAATGCAATGTAACTTGTAAAACGTTTGTCAGTTACTCCACTTTTTCTGTGTCCGTACTTCATGAACATTTATGAGTTAGTATGTTGTGTCAAAATTTATCGCTGTCAAAAAAATTGTACGACAGTTTAATCGTGAGGCCTAATTTTGAAAAAAAATTGAGCTTTAAGCCAAGAAGAAAGAATCCGGCCTTAAAAGAGGCCGGATTCTGAGCCCGCTGAACACGCACACTTTTGAAAAAAAACAGTTATGACAGATTCAAGCGACAAGGCTGCAATAGGTTAGAAGCGATCGCCAAGTTGTAGCCTTTCTTCCAACTTTGAAATACAACCGTGTCTCATTTTTCTCAACGAGAGCAGTTCGATAAGAAGATGCCATTGTCCTTTTTACAACCAACGATAATATCGAAGTCAGTAAGTTTATCTGCCGTTCGTAACTGTCATGTTTTTTTGGCACTCGATGTAAATAAGTGCGGCAAACGAGCAGCGGAAGTTCGAGTAACTCCTTTATAATTTTCATCCTAGGCCCTTTGTGGCTTCCCTGCTCGTTTCTGTGACTCCTTCACCCTGAACGCCTCAAAGTGCACACAAAAACTACCCGCTAAGCCGGCTCAGGTTTAGGCCCGCTCGTCCAATATTGATTAGTTCTAAACTCACCTCATGTTGATAGTAGATGTCACGGAAACTGCGTCTCCATCTGGGGCCAGAACAGCCACGTGGGTTGTACCGTAATCAGCGTTCGAAAAGAAGTCCGCGTAATACCCTACATCTTTGTGGGTCTTGTTATCCCATATTTTGTTACGTAGGCGATTGCTTGTTTTTGGATCCAACATCTTTAATGCTTTTTTCTGAAATATGTACGGTAGCAAATTTGCATAATACACAGCCAATGATCTGTTGATTCAGACTCAACGTTTTTATGCGATTTTTTGAATTAGATAATCCGCAATTGCTTCCAATTGTCTTGGAAAGTAGCCCCACTTGCTCGACCAACTAGACGCAAAGCTTAATCAAAGGAGAACCCCATCGTCCCCGGACTAAATGTAATCAGGTTTGGTCACCCTCATTTCAGGTCGGCCACGTGCGTAAACACAGAGTTATCATTGGCTCCTTTGAATTCTTGTTTTTCCATTCGCCCTATTAATGGCTGGTTTTATCTTGCTGGAAGGTAAAATGCGCCGTATCGCAACAAAATGAAGCAAATTTAAATAGATTTTTTAATTTGAAGTTGGTTTCTTTTGAGTGTCTTAGTACGCAATTCGGACTCCAGTAAAGAGACAACTATCTTGTGTGACCGCCAACTGCAAAGGGCTGCCAAAAACTCTACTGGAGAGTAGGCCCTTAAATACTGTGCTAGTAAGAGTTGAATATTATGCTACTGGCATTGCTCTATTTTTTCCAAGTTACGCTTAAAATTATGCTCGTTTTTAAAAATTATGCTACTTCTTTTTAAAGTACCCTTTTTGCAACAGAAAAACAAAACAAATCCAAGTTAAAAATGTATCGTTATTTTTGCACGAATCGTCGAAATACTTTTTTATTTTAATAACTTGGTTTTATCAACTGAGTTAATAATGTAAATTGGCCACCTTAAAGAGTTTCTAAAGCTAAGGTGGCCGATTTGCATTAACAAAGCACCACAGTTTCTTTGCAAACTAACCCCCTTTTTTTCTATATTTTGAGTTACAAACATGCAGACACAATTAACTACTGCACTTAGTTCAAGACTTCAAGCGGTGACATAATGTGTCAAAATATGCGATGTTAGCGTCGCGTTTCTCCTCGACGCCATTTTGTCGCCTGTGAAAGCGGAAACTGGGACAGTCGCATTCTTTATTTCCGGTGTGCCCAGTCTTCTAGACGACGAATTACTTAGTGCAAAAAAAGTACTAGAAAAAAGTAGTAAAAATCACTAAGTACAAAAATTAGTCTCGTTTTTCAAATTATGCCAAAATTATGCAAGCACAGTCTATCTATAAGAGCCCTCTGATATTATATGCTAACGGAAAACGTTATGAAGGTGGCAAAATTTGTATCACTGAATGATTTCCACCTACCTCGATGTTTGGATTGGACTTCGGATCTCCAAGCAGACTGCGCCATGCATAACTGAACTTAAAGGCTTCAATGATTCGGTGGTACGTAAGAACAGAGGATTTCTTATCTTTAAAGGCTGACGACGTCATTTTGTACCCTACATCAAAAAAAGGAGAAAAAAAATGACACTTCTCAAACAAGGCTTTGTAAGTAGTGCGCAGCAAACAATGTTGAGGACTCGTCTTTTTTTATTTCCCACCGATTTCGTCTAATTAAACTGAGTTTGTCAGCGAATTCAAACATAACACGCTCCAACGAGAAATACCCACCAAACATGCCGCACCAGACCTTACAAGGGGGGACGCCGGTGTGGTGATCATAAGAATGTTGCTGAGGGATCAGGTAAATTTCATCGTGACGCAATAAAAATCCTCCACAACCCCCCCCCCCTCCTCCCTTCAAGGCGGTAATAAAGGACTGGTCATTTTTTTGTTTTTTTGAGCGTGCAGAGGAGTGTGTGCACAAGGAAGGGGAGCTATATGTGCTATATGTGCTATATTGATTACAGTGACGAGAACTCCTACCTTTCAAAATGTTCAAGATGAGCCCTAACACGGCGCCACTTGTCGGGGGTGGGGTCAGGTACATTTTCATGCCCGAGAGTTCTCTCTGATATGACTCTCTCGTGATCGGCCTGTAATCTCTTAAATCACGGTCAGTCACCTTTCCACTGACTGTCTGCAAATCACTTATAATTTCTCTGCCAAGCTCTCCATCTGATGTATCGTAAAAAGATTCTGGATCGTCACGCACTCTTTCCAGGGTCGTTGCGTACTTTTCATTCTTAATGACGTCTCCTTTCTTAACAAGCCTTTTATTATCAACCAGGAGCAGTTCACTGAAAAAATTAAAATTCAGTGACGTAAATTATCACATTATCCAGCAGTATGTAAACAAAGATCTGTTGCTTTGAGAGAATAATCTTCTCATAGAAGACTTCTCTGGTACCAAACTACTATTCACTGATGGGGAGGTGGCTTGTGGTGGTAAATATCCGCCACTAGCTACCGTCACTAAGGTAAAAAAATGGTTTATTATCATATAAACTATAGTGTTATACAAGGATTTCCAGCCCTGAGAAAAGCCAAAACAACACACGTAAAAAAATACGATATTTTGTCGCGTGTGTTTGATATCGTCAATCAGCTGCTGGCAGGTCACTGGCCTTAATTTCTTGCCCCTCCGTCAGTTTGACAAATGAAGAGCAAAGCCTCACCTTTCCCAATCCATGGTTGTTTTTCGAAATTTTCTCGAATCGTGGCTGCTAAAACACTGAAAACTTCGTAACGCTTACAGACAGTGACGTTCAAACTTTTCCGGAAGGGAAAAAAAAACAAAATACGAAAAGAAAAACCGAAAGTTACGTATTCAGTGACTTTAGTAATGGCATTTCTCGCGGCTGAGAATGAAAATCGACAACTGGAAGATTTATCACAGGCCGCTTTGGGCTGTGTACCTGATTTAGATTTCTTCTGTCGGTAAGGAAAAACTTAGTGACGCTTTTTTTTCATCTTGAGCCTCAACGCAAACTCACTTTACAATTTTCATTCGGGGATTGTCGATCCTTTTATTTTCATTCGTTAATAAAGTCGACTTTTCTTGTCAGTGAAGGGCCATTGTGATTATATGATAAACAAAATAATACATGGTTGCGTGTAGATATAGGATTTCTCTTCTCGTGTTTGACTCGACATCTCGCTCGTTCGCTGCGCTCAATCGCGAGCTATCGAGTAAAACACTCGAAAAGAAATTCCATATCTAGCGTGCGTATGTATTATTCTCTATTTATTATATACTAAAACAGTGAGATACTATAGCACAAAAAGGTTATTTTAAATCATTTACTCCTGCAACGATTACAACATTTTCGGGCGACATGCTCGGAGGTGAATAGCAAACAATGTTTAAGGTTTGAGTAGCCAATCAGAGCGCGCCTTTAACGCTATCCTCTGTTTTCGTATATACAATTTGCCTTTGTCACATAGCAATTATGATTATTTCTTACCTTAAACCGGGGTCATTTCTAATATCTTTCTCGATTCCTTTGGTCGTTAGTGCATCATCCAGTGCTTTAGATGCTTTAAACCCATTTTTGGCCAAATTGATAGCGGGTTGAACAAGGCGTTTCCATGTTAACCGACCATGTCGTTTCCAAGCCTCGAACTGACCGCGCACCTCGCCGGGAACAGCGATGCACAGGCCACCTAAAATTAAAGCTTGTTAAGTTGGCGTTTTTGCGAGTTTTTTTAAAAAAATATAGTTCTTCAACTCGTTGGTGACGTCTGTGTAGGTAAGGTATACGTATTTCCCTAGACAGTCATTGATAAACCTAATAGACGAAGTATCTAGGGACTTGCAAGATTTAAAGTACTGTCAAGGAGTCCAAAACTTCGTAGTAGAGGAAGAAACTACGTTTGCATTGATTAATTAGCACTGAGATACACTGTATTGGGGAAAAGGTCAATTAATCTGTTCAAGCGGAATAAATAGTAATTAAAAAGTAGTGTATACCACACAAGTGAACAGTGTTTTATGTGCGCGCTGATTGGCTGCTTGGAAGCGAATAGCAAGTGCTATTCACTAAAGAGCAGCCGAAGAGACAAAATCTCGGGTCAAGAGTTTAACTTCTGAACATTTTTTTATGTATTTTTAGCTTATTTTTTGGTATCGGTGTGGAATATACTAAAACAATCATTCACCTCCACTACGGTGAATATTTGTATTTATGGATCCACAACAAAATCATGCAAAAATAAAAGTACAGACCTTTCTTGGCTTCTTCCTCTTTGCCCTTGAACATATCCCGGTAGGCTGTAGCTGGGGCAGTTTCTCTGAAATCGATGACTGTGGCTTGCTTTAATGTTTGATTGTACACTAACATCACTCCCCCACCTCCTATCCCTGATGAGTGCATGCTGACCACACCCAAACAGAACATGGCGGCGATGGCAGCATCCACCGCAGAGCCGTTTGCCTTTAGGATGTTTTCTCCTATGTCAGAACACTGCTGTGTATCCGTGGCAACGGCTTCTCTTTTATAGGGTCCGCCAAATGATTTATCGCGATGAAGTACGACACAAAGTACGACACCTACCACAGCCACTACTGCTATGAAGATGACGCAGATTATTATTTTACCACACCTACTGCATGCCCAGTCCCTTAAAAAAACACATGAAGATTAGTTTATATGATAATTTTTGACTCGTTCATGACCTTTCAAATTCTTTGAGTAAGAATAAAAATTACGTTTGCAGCTAGACATGATGTACAAATAGATCCCTGATAACCCTCTCAAACACAAATCTTAGCAATAGCTAAGTAACAAAATTTCCTTCCTGTCTATTGAACTCTCAATAAGTTCTTCACCCGGGTTTAAGCCCTTGTACACTGTGTTAGTAATTGTAGTATATTATGCGGCTAGTATTTCCCGATGTTTTCAAAACTTTGCTCAAACAATTTCAACGAAACTGTAGGTCAGTCAGGTCATGAAGTAACCCAACAATGTTGTCAGCCTACCCAAATATATAGTTGCCTTGGGAATTGGGATCCAATTCCAAAGGCTATTTTTTTATTTCTGGCAAACTCAATGAAGAATTTACAATAATTAAAAGTAACTACAAAGTATTTAAGTGTGACATTTTTGAAACGACCCTTTCAACTTTATACCGGATTCCAGCGTTGTTAGATGCAGCAAAATTGAAATCAAACTTATCCGATGACACGAATTGAAACGATATATTTTTCTGCAATAATCACATCATCCGATAGTTATACCGTCTGCAACTAAAGTTCATATTTCCTGCTACAACTTTACAATTCACGTCTTTAAAATCGTGCTTTTGTAAGTCAACATCAGATCTCGTTTCAGTCAATGCTCACAAAGCAGAGAACAATGATTCCTTGCTAATGCATCGTGTTATTATTATCTTGTGCGTCTACGTCACCATATCACTTAGATATGTTCGATTACATTTCTAACTGGTAAATATCTTGTCGAAACTTAGTTACACTGAAATGTTTACATGTAAAACCTCGTTTATAAATTCACAAAGTGAATTCACTATGTGCCGTTTTCTCGGTCTCGGATGTCTTATCAGACGTTTTGTGTGTTCATTGATAGATATTTGGAGTGGCGTGTTATAGCCAGTCTTCCAAATACAACCTACCATCTGCACTAAGATTTCCGGAGAATTCTGAAGCGAAAATTTCCAGTTTCGCCCTTTTGCTGAATATGACATATTTCCCTGTGTATTTGACGGAATGTTGATAGTTGTGTTGAGCGGTAAACTGAACTCTTAAAAAATTTTCTTGGCTTAGGTTAGCATTACATATGTTCACCAACAACTGCAAATCAACATCATACAGAAGGAGGAAATCTTTACTCACTTAAACCTCTTCCTTGTGCACTTCCTGTCTTCTTGACCTGCGTTGCTTGTTGGATCTTCGGCTGCCATTGCTATTCGTGTTGTAAACTGAACCTTGAGGGGAACTGTAACAGTCGAACTCGACTCTCAGGAAAATGCTGGCTTAGGAATATGAATCTCTTTTGTGCTCTTGTAGTAATATCTCGAAACATCCAATCCCTTATGTTTCAATTAACCTTTTGTGCTCAGCTCTTCCAAGATCTGATTTCAAAGGGAGTGCTAACCTAGACGTGTTCTGCGAGTGTTTTTTGAATGAAAATTAAGACTTTTCTTTTCTTTTTGCTTAAAATTTTGGGAGCAAAAGGTCAAGCTTTTCTTCAGTAACCGCGATATTGACTGTTTGATAAACACGATATATGACCACAACACGTTTAGCTTGAGGCGTATTATCAGTTTATTTTACCGTTCGGTAGAACCTCCAATAAGGCCACCTCTTCATAAGAGTCAGAAGAGGCACCTCACTACACCGACCATTGTTTTGGCTCATCGAATGGTTCGTTAATGCACTCTAATGCAAACTCTCTAAGCAAACCAAAGTGTGTCTTAGCAACCAAAACAATCACGGACAAAAGAACATTGTAACAAAATGTGCGGCAATTCACTCAAGCAGATAATCCTTGACATTTCTTTTCTGTGTAAGAGTAAATACAAAACTAATTAAAAGTAGAACGTTGCGTAAATTGAAGCATCCGTAGAAACTGCACCTTTCTCGTTTATTTTTGTCAACCTTTTTTTTCTGAGCTTGTATTTTAGTTTGTTTTGTTTTGTTTTGTTTTTGTACGTAAATGCTTCGCAAACATGTTTAGAATGCTACAGTTTCTTCAGTGTTAAAAATGTTTTTATGGCGTAATAAATAATGAATACGCTAGGAATGCTCATTATTTACCCCACAGAGGGAGGGGGTCGTAGGATTCTGGTTGTGTCTCAGTGAAATTATCCCGATTCCCCCTTAAGGCTTTGTGTTATTGTCATGATCTCCCTTAATAGCAGTCACTTTTTTATGCTCACCCCCTTTATACTCTGATAGTAACGACTGATCTCCCCTCCCTTCCCCCCCTGAGAACCATGTGATCCCCAAAGTCCTCCTACCCCTCCCCCGCCAGACGATAAATAACAACTGCTCCCTTAGGAAACCTAAGATTTGTAGTCTTCTCCAACGCGCACTGTTAACGAAGCTGCACTAAGGGATTATAAACCCCTCTTCGAGTACAAGGTAAAAAGGTTAACATTTCCCGATAGCAGCGAGTAATGGGCTCCTGCCGATAGCCAGTTTAGGCCAATATTAGTGGAAATGATATGAGTTTATTGGAAACTTGGAAACAGGTGTGCGAGTGTGATGATTCTTTGAGATGCTCTCGATTGACTCTCTTCTGGGCGGACTTTTCAAAAATTGCATGGAACGTGTGAATCTTAAAGAGTCTTTTTGCTCCTGTATTATATTGTTTGATTTCAAGATGAACTATTCTGTAATCAAACCTCACTCAGTGTACTGCTTTCCATGGTGTGTTTTGCAGTATGCGGTTGGCAGAATGAAGTATGTAGGTAACCGCCCTTACAGAGAGGAACAAGAAATACTATATTTGCCTTCAGAAGTTACTGAGTTTTTACCCACCAGCTACAAGCAGTGATATTGTTAAAAGAAATGCTTCCTTGCATCACTGTGTTATGCAGAGACACTGGTGGAGTCTAAAAATTATCTCGATATGGCTATCAATATTCGAAACAATACGAAGTTTATTTTGCTAAGACTTATCCATTCTAAAATAGTTCAGTTATCCAGTTAATTGCGCCAATTGCATTCCCCTTAAGCATCGCTTAAGGGGACCGCACTTCCGTTGACCCGCGCTTCTATTGACCTGCGGGTACACCATGCTTTCTTGGGTCAGACTTGGCGTATATTCCTCCAGGTTCCCTGGAAATCGCCTGCACCACAGCAAACAAATCACTGCCAGTGATGTTGTGACCTCGTTGTGCTAAGCCTTCTATTACGTACTTGTCGATGCGATAGTCCTTATTGTTTTCATAAAATACTCTCTGATCAGGCACCATTTGTGAGTGCAATCGAGGTTTGTTTACCGCCTTAGACAAGTCATCTCCAAACCAGAGTTTGTTCATTAAGACCTGCAGGTGCAAAAATAATTATAAGCTTTCTTGCTTTCAATATTTACCACAGAGGCGGTGTGAATCCGCTCTGGAGATGGAGGGACGGATTAATTGACTACAGACTTCGACCCACATATACAGCCCACAGAATGCTTATCAGCTTAGCTATAAAATCTTAAGAGTCAAGGAATTTTGAATGAAACGATTGGACGTACCAGTGATACAGCTGTGGTTATAATTTTTCCGCCAGAAGCACCAATAACAAGCTGAACTTTTCCGTCGTTATCAGTTAAAATGGTAGGACACATGGAAGAGAACGGTCGCTTGCCTGGCCGAGGCCAATTGAATGGTGAAGGAGAAATATCACCCACTACTTCGTAATCAGGAATATCAAAATCTGCCATCTCATTGTTGTAAATGATGCCTGTGGTAGTGGATCGGTACTTAGCACCGAACCTATTATTAAACACAAAAACAGTTCACGGTATCACTAGAATGCAATGCAACTAGTGGTAAGTTTTGTCAGTTTCCTCTCTTTTTTTCTGGGTCCATTTTTGGGCACTTGATGAAAATAACTGTGGTAAACGAGCTGCGGAAGTTCGAGTAACTCCCCAATAATTTTCATCCAAGGCCCCTCATGGCTTCCCTGCCCGATTCTGTACCTCCTTCACCCTGAACACTTCAAAGCGAACACAAAACTACCCGCTAAGCAGGCTCAGGTTTAAGCCCGCTTGTCCAATATTGATTGGTTCTAAACTCACCTCATGTTGATAGTAGATGTCACGGAAACTGCGTCTCCATCTGAGGCCAGAACAGCCACGTGGGTAGTACCGTAATCAGCGTTCGAAAAGAAGTCCGCGTAATAGCTTACATCTTTGTGGGTCTTGTCATCCCATATTTTGTTACGTAGGCGATTGCCTGTTTTTGGCTCCAACATCTGTGATGCTCTCCACTGAAATATCACCAAATTTGCAAAATATTCAGCTAATGTTCTGGTGATTCTGACTCAACTTTGTTGTGCGAATTTTGAATAAGATAATTCGCAACTGCTGCCAATTGTCTTCGAAAGTTGCTCCCATTCGCTCAACCAACCAGGCAAAGCTTAATCAAGGGCGAACCTCATCGTCCCCGGACAAAATGTAATCAGGTTTGGTCACCCTGGTTTTCCCGCGTGAGGTCGGCCACATTCGTTAACACAGAGTTATCACTGGCTCCTTTTAATTCTTGTTTTTCCATTTGCCTTTTTAATGGCTCGTTTTAAAATAGCGTTCACTTATCTTGCTGGAAGGTAACATGCGCCTTATTGCAGCAAAATGAAGCAAATTTAAATACATTTTTCAATCTGGAGTTGGTTTCTTTTGAGAGTCTGAGTGCGCAATTCGGACTCCAGTTAAGAGATTACTATCTTGTGTGATCGCTAACAACAAAGGGCTGACAAAAATCAACCAGAGAGTAGGCTCTTAAATACTGTGCGAGTAAAAGAGCGTGCTCAATGAGAGTATAGAGCATAGAGCTGTCACGCCATATGCCAAATTGTATTATTTCTAACCTTTTCCAGGACTTTTCTCTGGTTTTTTTTTCTTAAATGTAAAGAGAAATTTCGGAACAGGCGGGTCGGCAAATGGCAACAGAAGAACTAAAAAAAGGTATGTAAACATGCCAGGCGCCGTAATTAACCTTATTATAACGTGAGCAGACACGAAATTCCTCGAGGAGAAAATGAAATGGACAGTCCGAGTTTTGAAAGTTTTCACACTCAGTTAGATTGCAAGCTTACGTAAAGTAATAACAATCAAACACAGCTAACACTCGTGTAGTATATATTGTTTCGTATCTCAAGAAGTGGGGAGAAACACTCGACTACATCTCGTGTTACTTCCTGTACTTCTTCCGTGCTCTAGCCGCTTCCTGCATGCTTTACAACAGAACGGAGCATAGTCAAGGCTTCTTTTTTTTTTAAACTAGCATTGCTTTATTTTTCCTAAGTTATGCTTAATATTGTGCTTGTTTCTGAAAATTATGCTAATCCTTTTAAAGGTACCATTTTCACAACAGAAAAACAAAACAAGTCCAAATTAAAAATTTATTTTTATTTAGGCACGAATCGTCGATACTTCTTCATTTTAATAATTTGGTTTTATCAACTAAGCTGATAATGTAAATTGGCCACCTTAAAGAGTTTCCAAAGCTACGGTGGTCAATTCACGTTATCAAAGCACCACAGTTTCTTTCAGAACTTAACCCCTTTATTCTTTATTTTGAGTTACATACATGCAGGCACAATTAACTACTGCACTTAATTCAAGACTTCAAGCGGCGACATAATGTGTTAAAATTTATGATGTTACTGTACGCGTTTCTCTTTGACGCCATTTTTTTTGCCTGTGAAAGCGGAAATTGGGACGCAATCTTTACTTTCGGTGTGCCAGTCTCTGGACGACGAATGACCAGGTACTGCGATTACTTTCTTCCCCAAAGACATTGAAAAATTGAAAATAGACCAAACCATGGGGCGAACTTGAAAATAATCAATCGAAGAGAATAATCCAGTGATGAATCTGGTTCTCTTCAAAAAATGCTGGAAATATACTGATTCTGCTAAAAGTGATACTTTTACCAAAAAGGAAAAATTGAGCTCGTTTTTCCAAACTATGCCAAAAATTATGCAAGCACAATCTCTAAGGGCCTACCGGAAAACCCTCTGATATTATATCTGTACGGAAAATGTCATAAAGCTGGCATTTGAATCACTGAATTATTTCCACCTACCATGATGTCTGAATGGAAATCCGGATCTCCAAGCAGACTACGCCATGCATAACTGAACTTAAAGGCTTCAATTATCCGGTGATACGTAAGCACAGAGGATTTCTTGTCTTTAAAGGCTGACGACGTCATATTGTACCCTACATTAAAAAAAGGAAAAAAAATGACATTTCTTAAGCAAGACTTGGTGAGTAGTGTGCAGCAAACAATGTTGACGACTTTTTTTATTTTGCATTTTCCACCGGTTTCGTCTAATTAACCTTTTAACTCCTAAGAGTGACTAGCATCTAAGTTCTCCCAACGATATCAGTCCTGAATCAAACATTTAGGTCACGAGAATAAATGAAATGATCATCAAGTAAAGAAGTTCTACATTGCTAACCAACTTCTCCTTGTCAGCACCTTAAGAAACGTATAGAGAATAGTTTGGAGGATATGCATACTGATGTGAGGGTGTAAAAGGTGAAAATGACTTCGTCAGCGAATTCAAACCTAACACGCTCCAACTAGAAATACCCACCAAACATGCCGCACCAGGTCTTAAAAGGGGGTTAGGAAGGGGGATCATAAGAATGTTACCAGGGGATCAGGTAAATTTTATCGTGAGGCAATAGAAATCCTTCACCCCCCATACCCCCCTTACCCTGCTTTCCCCCTTCCCCCCTTCCCCCTTCCCCCTTCTCCCTTCCCCCTTCCCCCTTCCCCCCTTTCCCACCCTCCCCCTTCCCCCTTCCCCCTTCCCCCTTCCCCCTTCCCCCCTTTCCCACCCTCCCCCTTCCCCCCTTCCCCCCCTCCCCCCTCTCTCCAGCTCCCTTCCAAGGCGATAACTAAGGACCAGTCACTCTGATTTTTTGAACGTGAACTAGAGTGTGCGCACAAGGAAGGGGAACTATATGTGCTACATGTACTATATTGATCACAATGTTTTTGAGACGGCGAGTTAGATATAAGAATATAATAATGATGACTATAATCGTGACTATAATAATAATAATAATAATAATAATAATAATAATAACATTTTGACGAGAACTCCTACCTCGCAAAATGTTCAAGATGAGCCCAAGCACGGCGCCACTTGTCGGGGGTGGGGTCAGGTACATTTTCATGCCCGAGAGTTCTCTCTGATACGGCTCTCTCGGGATCGGCCTGTAATCTCTTAAATCACTGTCAGTCACCATCCCATTGATTTCCTTCAAATCACTGATAATGTCTCTGGCAAGTGCTCCATTGTAAAAAGATTCTGGATCGTCACGCACTCTTTCCAGGGTCGTTGCGTACTTTTCATTCTTAATAACGTCTCCTTTCTTAACAAGCCTTTTATTATCAACCAGGAGCAGTTCACTGAAAAAATTGAAAATTCATTAACGTAAATTATCTCATAACCCAGCTGCATACGAACAAAAATCTGTCGCTCTGAGAGAACAATCTTCTCATAGAAGACTTCTCTGGTATCAAACTACGATTCACCGGAGGGGAGGTGGCTATTGGTGGTAAATTTCCGCCACTAACCACTACCACCAAGGTGAGAGTTTTATATTATCATATAAATTACTGTGTTTTACAAGGATTTGCTTGGTGTTGAGTAGCCAATCAGAGCGCGCCTTTAACGCTATCCGTTGTTTTCGTATATACAAATTGCCTTTGTCACATAGCAATTATGAATATTTCTGACCTTAAACCAGGGTCATTTTTAATATCTTCCTCGATTCCTTTGGTCTTTTTTAGCGCATCATCCAGTGCTTTAGATGCTTTAAACCCATTTTTGGCCAAATCGATGGCGGGTTGAACAAGGCGTTTCCATGTTAACCGACCATGTCGTTTCCAAGCCTCGAACTGACCGCGCACCTCGCCGGGAACAGCGATGGACCGACCACCTAAGATTAAAGCTTGTTAAGTTGACGTTTTTGTGGGTTTTTAAATATAGTTCGTCAATTCGTTTGTGCCGTCTGTGTAGGTAAGGTATTTCCCTAGACAGACATTAATAAACTTTACAGACAAGGTATTTATAGACTTAGTTTAACACGCCTATTTTCTTGCAAGATTTAAAGTGCTGTCAAGGAGTCCAAAACTTCGAAGTAGAGAAAGAGCGTACGTTTGCATTGATTAATTAGAACCATTGAGACACACTGAATTGGAGAAAATGTCAATTAATCTATTAAAGCGGAATAAACAATAATTAAAAAGTAGTGTAAACCACACAAGTGAAGAATGTTTTACACGCACGCTGATTGGCTAACTCGGAAGTAAATAGCAAGTACCATTTCACCTCCGAGCAGCCGAAGAGAAAAAAATCTCGCGTCAAGAGTTTAACTTCCGAACATTTTTTGATATATTTTTAGCCAATTTTTTTGTATCCGTGTGGTATGTACTAAAACAGTTATTCACCTCCACTTCGATAAATAATTGTATATATAAGCTCACAAAAAATTATGCAAAAAAAAAATTTTGGAGACCTTTCTTGGCTTCTTCCTCTTTGCCCTTGAACATATCCCAGTAGGCTGTAGCTGGGGCAGTTTCTCTGAAATCGATGACTGTGGCTTGCTTTAATGTTTGATTGTACACTAACATCACTCCCCCACCTCCTATCCCTGATGAGTGCATGCTGACCACACCCAAACAGAACATGGCGGCGATGGCAGCATCCACCGCAGAGCCGTTTGCCTTTAGGATGTCTTCTCCTATGTCAGAACACTGCTTTGTATCCGTGGCAACGGCTTCTCTTTTATAGGGTCCGCCGAATGATTTATCGCGACGAAGTACGAAATAACAGACCAGCCCAACTACGAGACCTATTATACACAATGCTACTATGACGCAGATTGTTATTTTACCACACCTACTGCATGCCCAGTCCCTTAAAAAAAAAAACACTTTCAGGTTAGTTTTTGACTCGTTCAGGAACTATTTCTGTTGGCAGGTTACTGCGTCCATTTTAGATTCTTTTCCTTAGGGACCAGTAATTATCTACCGCCTGTCGAGGGGGGGGAAAGGGAGATTAGAGGATTTATTTTCGGGGGGAAGGGAGGGGATCAGTCATCGTCAACAGAGAATAAAGGCGGGACTATAGAAAATTGGGATCAATATCAGTATTTGAGCAACTGCCCACCTACCCCTCCCCTAACCCAACATTAACCCTGACTTGTTATCAATTGACTGTTGTTGAGTTAGGGGAGGGGTAGGTGGGCAGTTGCGTAGATACTGATATTGATCCGAAAATTGACCGCCAATCACAATAATTACAAATGAGGGAAGGAAGGAATCGTAAGAATATCACAAAGCTAAATGGAGGATCAGGTACACAACCAAAATCCGATGTAACCCTCCCAAACACAAATCTTATCAGTAGCTAAGTAATACATTTTCCTTCCTGTCCGTTGAACTCTCCAGAAGTTTTTCAACCGGGTTTAGGCCCTTATAGACTGCGTTAGTAAATGTAGTATATTATGCTGCTAGCATTTCTCGATGTTTTCTAAACTATGCTCAAATAATTTCAACGAAACTGTAGGTCAGTCAGGTCAGGGGTAGCCTAACACAGTCTCTGGCTTACCCAAGTGTATAATTGCCTGGGGAAATGGGATCCAATTCGGAAGGCTAAGTTTTGTTTGTTTGCGAACTCAGTGAAGAATTTACAATAATTAAAAGTAACTCTAAAGTATATATGTGTGATGTTTTTGAAACGACCCTTTCAACTTTATAGCGAATTCCAGCATTGTTAAATCCAACAAAATTGAAACAAAACTTATCCGTTGACGTGAATTGAAACGTTATATTTTTCTTGAATAATCACGACATCTAATCGTTATACCGTCGTAAATCAAAGTTCATATTTCGCAAGACTAATTTTTGTTTCCCGGCAAACTCGATGAAGAATTTACAATAGTTACAAGAAACTTTAAAGTCTATATGTATGATGTTTTTGAAAAGACCCTTTTGACTTTCTAACGGATTCTAGCTTTGTTACATACGGCAAAATTGAAATCAAACTTATCCGATGACGTGAATAAACACGTCACATTTTTCTTAAATAATCACAACATCCAATCGCTATACCGTCTGAAATCAAAGTTCATATTTCCTCCTATAACTAAAGAATTCACACCTTCAAAATCGTGGTTCTTTAACTCAACATCAGATCTCGTTCCAATCAATGCTCATGCAGCGAAGTACGATGATTCCTTGCTAATGCATCGTATTATTGATTATCTTGTGCGTCCACGTCACTTTATCACTTTCATACGTTCGATCATTATATTTGTAACTGCGGCGAAGATCTTGTCGAAATCAAGGTACTCTGAAATGTTTACTTGTACTACCTCGTATTATAAATTCACAAAGTTGCTGTTTTTATGGGAACCGCTAAACATTTCAGCCGAGATTGTTCCTTAAAATCACTGTGTGCCGTTTTCTTGGTCTTGGATGTCTTATCAGACGTTTTGTGTGTTCATTGACAGATATTTGGAGTAGCGTGTTATAGCCAGTCTTCCAAATACAACCTACGATCTGCACTCAGATTTCCGGGAAATAATTCATTATATCTCTACCAAGATCGAACCGAAAAACAGAATTCTGGAGCGAAAATTTGCAGTGTTGCCCTTTGGTTGAATATGACATATTTCCCTTTGTATATTACGGATTGTTGATAATTGTTCAGAGCGGTAAACTGAACTCTTAAACACTTTCCTTAACTTAGGCTAACGTTACATATGCTCACTAACAACTGCAAATCAGCATCATACAGAGAGAGGAAAACTTTGCTTACTTAAACTGTTTGGACTTCCCGTCTTGTTGACGCGTGTAACCTGATGAATCTTTGGTTGCCATTGCTATTCTTGTTGTAAACTGAACCTTGAACGGAAATGAAAGTCGAACTCGACTCTCAGGAAAGTGTTAGCTTCGCAATATGAATCTTTTTTGTACTCTTGTAGTAATATCTCGAAATATTCAATCCGTTACGATGTGTCAACTAACAGTTTGCGCCCAGCTCTTCCCAAGATCTGATTTCACAGGGAGCGCCAACGTACTCAATTGAGACTTTTCTAAGCATTTTAATTTCGCATATCTTAAACTTTCGGGAGCAAAAGGTCAAACTTTTCTTTAGAAACACGATATCTGATCACAACACGTTTAGCTTGAGGCGTATTTTCGTCTTTTTTTTTTTTTACCGTTCAGTAGAACCTTCAATAAGGCCACCTCTTCATAGAGTCATAAGAGGCACCTCACTTCACCAACCATTTTTTTGGCTTATCGAACGGTTCGTTAATCCACTCCAATGTAAACTCTCTACGCAAACCAAAGTGCGTCTCAGCAACTAAAACAATCACGGACAAAAGACCTTTGTAACAAAATGCGCGGCAACTCACTCAAGCATATAATCCTTGACATTTCTTTTCTGTGTTAGAGTAAATATAAAACCAAAATAGAACGTTGCGTAAATTGAAGCATGCGTAGTAACTGTACCTTTCTCGTTTATTTTTGTCAACCTCTTTCTTCTGAGCTTGTATTTTAGTTTGTTCATTTGTTTTTTGCTTTGTTTTTTTGTTTTGTTTTTTTGTACATAAATGTCACGCAAAAATGCCTAGGATGCCACAGTTTCTTCAGTGTTAACCCTTTAACTCCCATAAGTGACCAAGGAAGAATTTCTCCTTACAATATCAACACAACATCAACCAGCTAAGTGATGAGAATAATGAAAAATATCAATTTGGGGATAATTAGTTGATCCAATACTAAATTCTCTGAACTAACATCATAAGAATTGTATGGTTGACAATAATGAGAATTACAAATTTGATCTGTGATTTAAAGTGTTAAAAATGTTTTTATGGCGTAATAAATAATGAATACGCTAGGAACGCTCATTATTTACCCCAGAGAGGGAGGGGGTCGTAGGATTCTGGTTGTGTCTCAATGAAATTATCCTGATCCCCCCTTAAGGCTTTGTGTTATTGTCATGATCCCCCTAAATAGCAGTCACTTTTTTATGCTCACCCCCTTTATACTCTGATAGCAACGACTGATCTCTCTTCCCTTCCCTTCCTGATAACCATGTGTTCCCCCAAAGTCCTCCAACCCCTCCCCCGCCGGACGATAAATAACAACTGCTCCCTTAGGAAACTTGAGATTTGTAGTCTTCTTCAACGCGTACTGTTAACGGAGCTGCACTGAGGGATTATAAACCCCTCTTCGAGTACAAGGTAAAAAGGTTAACATTTCCCGATAGCAGCGAGTAATGGGCTCCTGCCGATAGCCAGTTTAGGCCAATATTAGTGGAAATGATATGAGTTTATTGGAAACTTGGAAACAGGTGTGCGAGTGTGATGATTCTTTGAGATGCTCTCGATTGACTCTCTTCTGGGCGGACTTTTCAAAAATTGCATGTAACATGTGAATCTTAAAGAGTCTTTTTGCTCCTGTATTATATTGTTTGATTTCAAGATGAACTATTCTGTAATCAAACCTCACTCAGTGTACTGCTTTCCATGGTGTGTTTTGCATTATGCGGTTGGCAGAATGAAGTAGGTAGGTAACCGCCCTTACAGAGAGGAACAAGAAATACTATATTTGCCTTCAGAAGTTACTGAGTTTTTACCCACCAGCTACAAGCAGTGATATTGTTAAAAGAAATGCTTCCTTGAATCACTGTGTTATGCAGAGACACTGGTGGAGTCTAAAAATTATCTCGATATGGCTATTAATATTCGAAACAATAGGAAGTTTATTTTGCTAAGACTTATCCATTCTAAAATAGTTCAGTTATCCAGTTAATTGCGCCAATTGCATTCCCCTTAAGCATCGCTTAAGGGGACCGCACAAGATGAAATATTCTGTAATCAAACCTTACTCAGTGTACTGCTTTCCATGGTGTGCTTTGCATTCTGAAGTAGGTAGAATGAAGTAGGTAGGTAACCGCCCTTACAGAGAGGAACAAGAAATACTATATTTGCCTTCAGAAATTACTGAGTTTTTACCCACCAGCTACAAGCAGTGATATTGTTAAAATCCTTCCTTGAATCACTGTGTTATGCAGCGACACTGGTGGAGTCTAAAAATAATCTCGATATGGCTATTAATATTCGAAGCAATGCGAAGTTTATTTTGCTAACACTTATCCATTTTAAATTATATAATAAGCTCAGTTATGCACGCATTCTGATTGGTTCTCAGTTATGATCTATTGGAAGACAGACGTATAGATGACGTCATAATTAAAACTTTTTTAAAGTCTTTATTATATAAAACAAATAGATTCCGAGTTGCCGTGCGTCTGTTCAGTAATAGATCACAGAGGACGTCAAAATGTGGTAAGAACATCAGTGACACACTCGGCTGTGCCTCGTGTGCCACTTTTTTGTTGTTGTTCTTACCACATTTTGACGTCATCTGTGATCTATTACTGAATAGACGCACGGCAACTTGGAATCTATTTGTTAAATAGTTCAGTTATCCAGTTAATTGGGCCAATCACATTCCGCACTTCTATTGACCCGCGGGTACACCATGCTTTCTCGGGTCAGACTTGGCGTATATTCCTCCAGGTTCCCTGGAAATCGCCTGCACCACAGCAAACAAATCACTGCCAGTGATGTTGTGACCTCGTTGTGCTAAGCCTTCTATTACGTACTTGTCGATGCGATAGTCCTTATTGTTTTCATAAAATACTCTCTGATCAGGCACCATTTGTGAGTGCAATCGAGGTTTGTTTACCGCCTTAGACAAGTCATCTCCAAACCAGAGTTTGTTCATTAAGACCTGCAGGTGCAAAAATAATTATGAGCTTTCTTGCTTTCAATATTTACCACAGAGGCGGTGTGAATCCGCCCTGGAGATGGAGGGACGGATTAATTGACTACAGACTTCGACCCACTGAAAAATGAGTGTGTGTTTCTAAACTCTCAATAGCTCTCTGAGCAAAGTGTTGAGCATGGGCAAGGGCGTAGCTAGAGTGGGGAGGGGGGGGGGTCATGGGGTGCCCGTGACCCTCCTACCTTTTGTAAGCCTTGATTTAAGCAAACAACCCACAATATTTAGTCGGTGGAAACTGGTAAGTACCCTCCGTTTGATACAGTGTGAACCCTCCTTGAAGCATCCTGATTACACCCCTAATGAGGTTCAATATACAGCCCACAGAGTGCTTATCAGCTTAGCTATAAAATCTTAAGCGCGAAGGAAATTTGAATGAAACGACTGTACGTACAAGTGATACAGCTGTGGTTATCATTTTCCCGCCAGAAGCACCAATAACAAGCTGAACTTTTCCGTCGTTATCGGTTAAAATGGTGGGACACATGGAAGAGAACGGTCGCTTGCCAGGTGCAGGAAAATTGAATGGTGAAGGAGAAATATCACCCACTACTTCGTAACCAGGAATATCAAAATCTGCCATCTCATTGTTGTAAATGATGCCTGTGGTAGTGGATCGGTATTTAGCACCGAACCTATTATTAAACACAAAAGTAGTTCGCGGTATCACTAGAATGCAATGCAACTAGTAATAAGTTTGTTAGTTTCCCCTCTTTTTCTGGGTCCATACTTCACGAACATTTATGAGCTGCCACAATGCGATAAAAAGATGGGCTTAAGTCAGTATCTGGAGTCAAAATATCATTGTGCGACAATTTTATCGTGAGGCATCATTTCTTTTTAAAAAAAAATCGAGCGTTTAGCAAAAAGAAAAGAATCCGGCCTCTTTTGAGGCCAGATTCTGAGCCCGCTGAACACACACACTTTCGAAAACAGTAATGAAAGATTCAAGCGACGAGGCTGTAATAGGTGAGAAGTGATCGTCGGCAAGTTGTGGCCTTTCTTCTAACCTTGAAATATGGCTGCGTCTAACTGTTCCCGACACAAGCAGTTCGAGAAGAAGATACCATTGCCCTCTTTTACCAACGATAGTATCAACTGCCGCTCGCAATTGTCGTATTTTTTGGACGCTTGATGAAAATAACTGCGGCAAACGAGCTGTGGAAGTTCGAATAGCCCCCCAATAATTTTCATCCTAAGCCCCTCGTGGCTTCCCTGCCCGATTCTGTACCTCCTCCACCTTGAACGCTTCAAAGCGAACACAAGACTACCCGCTAAGCAGGCTCAGGTTTAAGCCGTTCGTCCAATATTGATTAGTTCTAAACTCACCTCATGTTGATAGTAGATGTCACGGAAACTGCATCACCATCTGGGGCCAGAACAGCCACGTGGGTAGTACCGTAATCAGCGTTCGAAAAGAAGTCCGCGTAATAGCTTACATCTTTGTGGGTCTTGTCATCCCATATTTTGTTACGTAGGCGATTGCCTGTTTTTGGCTCCAACATCTGTGATGCTCTTCTCTGAAATATCACCAAATTTGCATAATATTCAGCTAATGTTCTGGTGATTCTGACTGAACTTTGTTGTGCGAATTTTGAATAAGATAATTCGCAACTGCTGCCAATTGTCTTCGAAAGTTGCTCCCATTCGCTCAACCAACCAGACGCAAAGCTTAATCAAGGACGAACCTCATCGCACCCGGACAAAATGTAATCAGGTTTGGTCACCCTGGTTTTCCCGCTTGAGGTCGGCCACATTCGTTGACACAGAGTTATCATTGGCTCCTTTTAATTCTTGTTTTTCCATTTGCCTTTTTAATGGCTCGTTTTAAAATAGCGTTCACTTATCTTGCAGGAAGGTAACATGCGCCTTATTGCAGCAAAATGAAGCAAATTTAAATACATTTTTCAATCTGGAGTTGGTTTCTTTTGAGAGTCTGAGTGCGCAATTCGGACTCCAGTTAAGAGATTACTATCTTGTGTGATCGCTAACAACAAAGGGCTGACAAAAATCAACCAGAGAGTAGGCTCTTAAATACTGTGCGAATAAAAGTAGCATATTGTGCTATTATGATAAAGTTCGGATGTAACGCGCGCTGTCATTGGTTGAAAGAGCGTGCTCCATGAGAGTATAGAGCATAGAGCTCAGCTAAAGCTGTCACACCATCTGCCAAATTGTACTGTCTAACCTTTTCCAGGACTTTTCTCTATTTTTTTTTTCTTAAATTGAAAGTGAAATTTCGGAACAGGCGAGTCGGCAAATGGCAACAGAGGAACCAAATAAAGGTATGTAAACATGCCAGGCGCCGTAATCGACGTTATTATAAGCTGAGCTAAAATGCGCCATATCGCAACAAAACGGGCAAATTTAAATTTTTTTTTTTTTTCAATTTGAAGTTGGCTCTTTTTGAGTGTCTGAGTACGCAATTCGGACTTCAATGAAGAGATTACTATCTCGTGTGATCGCTAACAGCAAAGGGCTGACAAAAATCAACCAGAGAGTAGACCCTTAAATACTGTGCCAGTAAAAGTAGCATATTGTACTATTATAATAAAGTTCGGATATAACGCACGCTATCATTGGTTGAAAGAGCGTGCTCCATGAGAGTATAGGGCATAGAGCATAGAGCTCAGCTAAAGCTGTCACACCATCTGCCAAATTGTACTGTCTAACCTTTTCCAGGACTTTTCTCTATTTTTTTTTCTTAAATTGAAAGTGAAATTTCGGAACAGGCGAGTCGGCAAATGGCAACAGAGGAACCAAATAAAGGTATGTAAACATGCCAGGCGCCGTAATCGACGTTATTATAAGGTGAGCTGAGACGAAAATCCTCAAAGAGAAAATGAAATGGACAGTCCGAGTTTGGAAGGTTTTCACACTCAGTAAGATTGCAAGCTTACATGTTGCCTGTGAAAGCGGAAACTGGGACAGACGCATTCTTTACTTCCGGTGTGTCCAGTCCTCTAGACCAGGTACTGCGATTGCTTTCTTCTCCGAAAACATTGCAAAATTGAAAATAGACGAAACCATAGGCCGAACTTGAAAATAATCAATCGAAGAGAACAATCCAGTGATGTATCTGGTGATGTTCTCTTCAAAAAATACTGGAAATATGCTGATTATGCTAGCAGTGCTACTTTTACAATAAAGGAAAAATTATGCTCTTTTTTCCAAATTAATTGTGCCAAAAATTATGCAAGCACAATCTCTAAGGGCCGACCGGAAAACCCTCTGATATTATATCTGTACGGAAAATGTTATAGAGCTGGCATTTGTATCACTGAATTATTTCCACCTACCTCGATGTTTGAATTGAACTTCGGATCTCCAAGCAGACTGCGCCATGCATAACTGAACTTAAAGGCTTCAATGATTCGGTGATACGTAAGCACAGAGGATTTCTTGTCTTTAAAGGCTGACGACGTCATATTGTACCCTACATTAAAAAAAAGAGGAAAAAAATGGTACTTCTTAAACAGGGCTTGGTGAGTAGCATGCAGCAAACAATGTTGAAGACTCGTTTTTTTTTTCGTATTTCCCACCGGTTTCGTCTAATTAACCCTTTAATTCCTTAGAGTGACTAGCATCTAATTTTTCTTAACAATATCAGCCCTGAATCAAACACGAAGGTCACGAGAATAAATGAAATGATCACCAACCAAAGAAGTTTTACATTGCTAACCAAATTCTCCTTGTCAGCACCTTAGGAAACGTACAGAGAACAGTATGGAGAATATGCATACTGATATGAGGGTGTAAACGGTGAAAATGACTTTGTCAGTGAATTCAAACATAACTTGCTCCAACTAGAAACACAATTTCCTCTCTCTTGACATAAGCCAGATCTTTAAAGGGGGAGACCGGTGGTGATCATAATAATGTTACCGGGGATCCGGTAAATTTTAACGTGACGCAATAAAAATTCTCCACACCCCCCCTCCCTTCCAAGGCGATAATTAAGGACTGGTCACTCTTTTTTTTTTTTTTTGAACGTGAAGAAGAGTGTGTGCACAAGGAAGGGGAGCTATATGTGCTACATGTGCTATATTTATCACAGTGTTTTTGAGACGGCGAGTGAGATGTAAGAAAACAATTATAATGACAATAATAATAATAGCATTTTGAGGAGAACTCCTACCTTGCAAAATGTTCAAGATGAGTCCAAGCACGGCGCCACTTGTCGGGGGTGGGGTCAGGTACATTTTCATGCCCGAGAGTCCTCTCTGATATGGATCTCTCGTGATCGGCCTGTAATCTCTTAAATCACTGTCAGTCACCATCCCATTGACTTTCTTCAAATCACGAATAATGTCACTGGCAAGTGCTCCATTGTAAAAAGATTCTGGATCGTCACGCACTCTTTCCAGGGTCATTGCGTACTTTTCATTCTTAATGACGTCTCCTTTCTTAACAAGCCTTTTATTATCAACCAGGAGCAGTTCACTGAAAAAATTGAAAATTCAATGACGTAAATTATCACATTATCCAGCTGCATACGAACAAAACTCTGTCGCTCTGAGAGAATAATCTTCCCATAGAAGACTGTGGTTCCTTCACCGAAGGAGAGGTGGCTGGTGGTGGTAAATTTCCGCCACTAACCACCGTCACTGAGGTAAAAGTTGTTTATTATCATATAAACTACGGTGTTATACAAGGATTTCCAGCCCTGAGAAAAGCCGTAACAACACACGTGAAAAAATACGATCTTTTTTCACGTGTGTTTGATATCGTCAATCAGCTGCTGATACGTCACTTGTCTTTCGGGGCACTCGGTCAGGTTGATGAATGAACAGCAAAGCCTTCACTATTCTAAATCTAGGGTTTTTTTTCGGAAATTTCTCGGATTATGGCTGCTAAAACATCGAAAAATCTGTATTACTCACGCCGTGTCCCTAAAAGATGTCTTCTGTCGGTAAGGACAAAATCAGTAAATGAGAATTTTTTACATTGAAATTACGCCCATTGTTGTTTTTGTAATGATTCAACGCATTTTTCATCTTGAACCTTAGCGCCAACGCACTTTACAATTTTTATTTGGGGATTGTCGATCCTTTTATTTTCATTCGTTTATAAAGTTGACTTTTCTTGTCAGTGAAGGGCTGTTGTGTTTATATGATAAAAAATACTACATGGTTGCTTGTAGATGCTTGTGGAATTTCTCTTCTCGTGTTTAACTCGACAACTCACTCGTTATCGAGTTAAATACTCGAAGAGAAATTCCATATCTACGCGCACCCGTGTATTATTCTCTATTTATTATATACGAAAACAGTGAGATAATATAGCACAAAAAGATTATTTATTCCTGCAACCATTACAACATTTTCGGGGGGCATGCTCGGAGGTGAATAACAAATCATATTCAGAGATTGAGCAGCCAATCAGAGCGCGCCTTTAACACTATCTACTGTTTTCGTATACACAAACTGCCTTCGCCACACAGCAATAATGAATATTTCTGACCTTAAACCAGGGTCATTTCTGATATCTTCCTCGATTCCTTTGGTCGTTTTTAGCGCATCATCCAGTGCTTTAGATGCTTTAAACCCATTTTTGGCCAAGTCGATGGCGGGTTGAACAAGTCGTTTCCATGCTAACCGACCATGTCGTTTCCAGGCCTCGAACTGACCGCGCACCTCGCCGGGAACAGCGATGGACCGACCACCTAAAGTTAAAGGTTGTTTTTGTGGGTTTTTTAAACAAATATTGTTCGTTAATTCGTTGGTGCCATCTGTGTAGGTAAGGTATTTCCTTAGGCAGATATTAATAAACTTAACAAACGAGGTAATTATAGATTTAGTCTAACGCGCCTATTTTCTTTCGGGATTTAAAGTACTCTGAAGGAGTCCAAAACTTCGAAGTAGAGAAAGAGAGTACGTTTGCATTGATCAATTAGTAGATACACTGAATTGGGAAACATGCCAATTACTCTATTAAAGCAGAATAAATAATAATTAAAAAGTAGTAAATGGCACGCAAGTTAACAATGTTTTATGCACACGCAGATTGGCTAGCTCGGAAGTGAATAGCAAGTACCATTCACCTCCGAGCAGCCGAAGAGACAAATTGTCGGGTCAACAGGTAAAGGTAGCCTAATTTTTGGTATTGGTTTGGTTTATACTAAAACAGTCATTCACCTCCACTTCGGTGAAAAATTGTTAACGATTGGTCCACAAAAAAATCATGCATAAACAAAAGTACAGACCTTTCTTGGCTTCTTCCTCTTTACCCTTGAACATATCCCGGTCGGCTGTAGCTGGAGCAGTTTCTCTGAAATCGATGACTGTCGCTTTCTTTATTGGTTGATCGTACACTAACATCACTCCCCCACCTCCTATCCCGGATGAGTGCATGCTGACCACGCCCAAACAGAACATGGCGGCGATGGCAGCATCCACTGCAGAGCCGTTAACGTTTAGGATGTCTTTTCCAATTTCGGAACACTGCTGTGTATCCGTGGCAATGGCTTCTCTTTTATAGGGTCCGCCAAATGATTCATCGCTAGAAAATACGAAATGACAGACCAGCCAAACTCCGACACCTACACAGAATGCTGCTAGGGAGCCGCCAATTTTTTTTTTACCACTCTCACTGGATGCCCAGTTCCTTAAAAAACACATGAAGATTAGTTATATGATCGTTTTTGACTTGTTCAGGATCTTTTAAATTATCTCAGTAAGAAAAAAAAATTACGTTGGCAGCTAAACATGATGTAGAAATGGATCGATCCCTGCAATCCTGGCCAAATTAGCAACATAAAATCTTTAATTTAACTATTTCTGTTGGCAGGTTACTGCGTCCATCTTTAGATTCCTTTCCTTAGGGACCAGTAATTATCTACCGCCTGTGGGGGGGGGGGGGTGGGGTTTGCAGGAGGAGGGAGATTTGAGGATTCTTGCGAGGGAAGACATGGTTTTCAGGGGGGAGGGAGGGGGTCAGTCGTCGTCAATGGAGAATAAAGGGGAGGAATATAGAACATCGACTGCCAATCACAATACCTACAAATAAGGGGAGGGGGGAATCGTAAGAATATCACAGAGCCATATGGAGGATCAGGTACATAACTATAATCCTCAACCCCCCTACTTTCTCCCCCTTCAGGCGATAAATAATGACGTCGATCGGTCCGTTATTGAATCCCTTCCAAGAGAGAGAGAATTATGCATTATCGACAAAACTGAGGAAAAGAGAACTTTCATATTGGGTACATTGTCTCTACATCTCTTCTAATTCTCATAAACAGCCAAAAAAGAATGTATAGTCTCCACTTGGCCGGATTAAAGTTCAGATCCAAGGCGAGAAAAGATTGTCCAGTTCGAGGAGTGAGGAAAAACGATGGAGGAAGTTTACAAGGAAGGCAACTTTATTTTTGAAATAAGGGAGCAGCCATTATTTATCGCCTGAGTGGTTGGAGGAATTTGTTGTGTCAAGATAACATTTACCTGACCCCCCTTACTCTCTATTGTATCAAGTCGAAGGAACAATTTTAGTCTCGATCCACATTTTTGTCGACAACATAAACACATACCGCCTCAAAAGATGTTACTACGGACCACGTGCAAAGCTGTCAATTGTTTCTCGAGTGTTGCGCGTGTTAAATATTCAATGGTGACATCTCATTTACATCTACATCCACATCCACATCTATTATAACGTTGGTAAAATCTGCAGAGACATCACACCAACCAACTCGCGGGTAAAGTGAGAAGACTATATAAAGGCTTGAAATTATATTAAGATCGATTTTGATCACGAAATGGGTCAGGAATATTCCACGATAGTGCAAATAGTCGTGAAAGCTGATCGCGGAAAAGCGATTGCGTGACGGTCGGTAAGTTGTAAGATGACATGTTATCACATATCACACGAAAAATCTCTTTAGATTCTCTGTCTGCATTTTGTACACACTCTGCAGTCTGCAGACTACATTTTGTACCTAGTCTAAAAATTACTTTTGCATGCATAGCATGCCTATGTTTCAATTTAGCTGCGCGCGCCAAAACATCAAACGCTTTGGCGGGATAATGAAACATGTTCAAATGCTTCAACTTGTGGCGTGTTTCTTGCTTTTAAATTTCGCTCAGATGGCAGACGAAATGATGCTTATAATGAGCCTAGTATTAAGGCATCAATTTCCTAGACACCAAGCAACTCTTTTCATGGTTGAACACCGTAGAAGACGGAGACGACGGGCACGTCGACACAGCCCGTACCTTTGGAAACTTTCAAGACCAAACCGGTCATGGTTCGAGATCCACTACAATGACCAAACAATTCCTGAGGCGTTTTTCAGAAGGCAACTGCGAATAGATCGTTGTACCTTCGATGTTCTGTTGAATGTTTTGCGACTTGCTATAACCCACGAAAACACAAAATTGCGTGACTGCATTGCCCCAGAAAAAGTACTTGCACTTGGTTTGTATCGTCTGGCGCACGAGAACTCTTACGAGAGCATTGGGCCGAATTTCAATGTTGGAAGATCGAGTGTTCTAGAAGCAGTGTAAGAAGTTGTGGAGGATCTTCTGCGGCCACATCTGCGGCTTCATTGTTAGTTTGATTAAGTGGCGACTGGAAAATTGCTCCACCCGTTGTAGGTTGGCCCGTTTGAATGAGAATTGTTTCCTTGTTGGTCTTCATAGGGTGGCACATTCCAGCGCCTGATCTGCTCATACGACTGGTCGTTATAATTCGCCAATGGATTAAAACTCCAATTACCGGTATTCATCCTAAGTTAAAGTTGTAAATTCTGCGAGTTTCGCAACGAAGGACAATTACTGCAATCTTTTAGTAAACTGAACCCAATTCAGGTACCACATGTACACTAACTGTAGCGTTTACGACAAATGATAAACAAGTTTACCACAGTTTTGTTTATTTAGTAGCTTTTAACAAGCTTTTACCCGGTACAAATTTTGTCGGCGGTGCGTTTGAAAAAATGTCCGCTTCGGCAAAAAAAATTGTTAAGTCGCGACAAACCGTCCGCACTTGTAAAGTGTTGGTGATGACAGAAAATTTATTTAAATAAACAATTTTGTCGCTAGTGCGAACAATTTTCCTTCCTGTCTGTTGAACTCTCCATAAGTTCTTCACCCGGTTTTAGGCCCTTATAGACTAAGTTAGTAAATGCAGTATATTATGCTGTTAGCATTTCTCGATGTTTTCCAAACTATGCTCAAATAATTTCAACGAAACTGTAGGTCAGTCAGGTCAGGGGGTAGCCTAACACAGTTTCCGGCTTACCCTAGTATATAGTTGCCTTTGGAAATGGGATCCAATTTACAAGGCTAATTTTTGTTTTCTAGAAAATTCGACAAAGAATTTACAATAATCACTAGAAACTTTAAAGTCTATATGTGTGATTTTTTGAAACGACCCTTTCGACTTTCCAGCGGATTCCAGTACTGTTCGGATCCGGCAAAATTGAAATCAAACTTATCGGATGACGCGAATTGTAATGTATTTTTCTGCAATAATCACGACATCCAATCGTTATACCGTCTGAAATCAAAGTTCATATTTCCTGCTACAACTCTAGAATTCATGCCTTTAAAATCGTGCCTTTTTAACTCAACATCAGATCTCGTTCTAGTCAATGCTCACACAGCGAAGAATGATGACTCCTGCTTTATTTATTATCTTGTGTGTCCACTTCACCACATCACTTTAATACGTTCAATTATATTTGCAACTGCGGCGAAGATCTTGTCGAAATTAAGTTCCACTGAAATGTTTGCTTGTGGTACCTCGTATTATGAATTCACAAAGTTGCTGTTTTTATAGGAACCACTAAACATTTCAGCCGAGATTGTTCCTTAAAATCACTCGGATGTCTTATGAGACGTTTTGTGTGTTCATTGGAAGATATTTGGAGTGGCGTGTTATAGCCAGTCTTCCAAATACAACCTACGATCTGCACTCAGATTTCCGAGAAATAATTTATTATATCTCAACCAAGATCGAACGGAAAACAGAACACCGCGACGCGAATATTTTCAGAGTTGCGCTTTTGTTCAGAATATGACATATTTCCCTGTGTATATGACAGAATGTTAATGATTGTGTAGATCGGTAAACCGACTCTTAAACACTTTCCTTAACTTAGGCTAACGTTGCATATGTTCACTAACAACTGCAAATCAATATTATACAGAGACAGGAAAACTTTGCTTACTTAAACCGTGTGCACTTTCCATCTTTGGCTCTCACAGTTATGGCTACCTCAACTGTTATCTTCGAACTCGACATCTCAGGAAAACGTTAGCTTCGCAGTGTGAATCTTTTTTTGTACTCTTGTAGTAATATCTCGAAAAATTCGATCCGTTACGATGTGTCAATTACCATTTTGCGCCCAGCACTTCCCAAAATCTTATTTCAAAGGGAGCGCTAACGTACACGTCTTCTGCGAGTGTTTTCTGAAGGAAAATTGAGACTTTTCTAAGCGTTTAAATTTCGCATATCTTAAACTTTCGGTAGCAAAAGGTCAAGCTTTTCTTTAGTAACCGCGATATCAACTGTTTGATAAACACGATATCTGACCACAACACGTTTAGCTTGAGGCGTATTTTCAGTTTTCTTTACTGTTCGGTGGAACCTCCAATAAGGCCACCTCTTCATAACAGTCATAGGAAGCACCTCACTACACCAACCTTTTTTTGGGCTCATTGAACGGTTCGTCCATCTACGCTTATGCAAAAAGTGCGTCTTAGCAACTAAAACAATTACGGACAAAAGACCTTTGTAACAAAATGTGCGACAACTCACTCAAGCAAATAATTCTTGACATTTCTTTTCTGTGTAAGAGTAAATACAAAATCAAAGTAGAACGTTGCGTAAATTGAAGCATCCGTAGTAACTGCACCTTTCTCGTTTATTTTTGTCAACCTCTTTCTTCTTAGCTTGTAGTTTAATTTGTTCATTTTTTTGGTTTGTTTTTTTTGGGTACATAAATGTCACGCAAAAATGTTTAGGATGCCACAGTTTCTTCAGTGTTAAAAATGTTTTAATGGCGTAACAGGCCTTCTGCAGCAATTGGTCACGTGATAAATTTCCTCATAGCAACAATTCATCGTATCTCTACCAAGATCGAACCGGAAAACAGAATTCTGGAGCGAAAATTTGCAGTGTTGCCCTTTGGTTGAATATGACATATTTCCCTTTGTATATGACGGATTGTTGATAATTGTGCAGAGCGGTAAACTGAACTCTTAAACACTTTCCTCAACTTAGGCTAACATTACATATGATCACTAACAACTGCAAATCAGCATCATACAGAGAGAGGAAAACTTTGCTTACTTAAACTGTGTGAATTTCCCGTCTTGTTGACGCGTGTCACCTGATGAGTCTTTGGTTGCCATTGCTATTCTTGTGGTAAACTGAACCTTGAACGGAACTGAAAGTCGAACTCGACTCTCAGGAAAGTGTTAGCTTCGCAATATGAATCTTTTTATACTCTTGTAGTAATATCTCGAAATATTCAATCCGTTACGATGTGTCAGCTAACACTTTGATTTCAAAGGGAGCGCTAACGTACACGTGTTCTGCGAGTGTTTTCTGAATGAAAATTGAGACTCTTCTAAACAATTTAATTTCTCATATCTTAAACTTTCGGGAGTAAAAGGTCAAACTTTTCTTTAGAAACACGATATCTGATCACAACACGTTTAGCTTGAGGCGTATTTTCGTCTTTTTTTTTTTACCGTTCAGTAGAACCTTCAATAAGGCCACCTCTTCATAGAGTCATAAGAGGCACCTCACTTCACCAACCATTTTTTTGGCTTATCGCGCGGCAACTCACTCAAGCATATAATCCTTGACATTTCTTAGCTGTGTTAGAGTAAATATAAAACCAAAATAGAACGTTGCGTAAATTGAAGCATGCGTAGTAACTGTACCTTTCTCGTTTATTTTTGTCAACCTCTTTCTTCTGAGCTTGTGTTTTAGTTTGTTCATTTGTTTTGTTTTTTTGTTTTGTTTTTTTGTACATAAATGTCACGCAAAAATGCCTAGGATGCCACAGTTTCTTCAGTGTTAACCCTTTAACTCCCATAAGTGACCAAGGAAGAATTTCTCCTTACAATATCAACACAACATCAACCAGCTAAGTGATGAGGATAATGAAAAATATCAATTTGGGGATAATTAGTTGATCCAATACTAAATTCTCTGAACTAACATCATAAGAATTGTATGGTTGACAATAATGAGAATTACAAATTTGATCTGTGATTTAAAGTGTTAAAAATGTTTTTATGGCGTAATAAATAATGAATACGCTAGGAACGCTCATTATTTACCCCAGAGAGGGAGGGGGTCGTAGGATTCTTGTTGTGTCTCAATGAAATTATCCTGATCCCCCCTTAAGGCTTTGTGTTACTCATGATCCCCCTTAGTAGCAGTCACTTTTTTATGCTCACCCCCTTTATACTCTGATAGCAACGGCTGATCTCTCCTCCCTTCCCCCCCTGAGAACCATGTGATCCCCCAAAGTCCTCCTATCCCTCCCCCGCCAGAAGATAAATAACAACTGCTCCCTTAGGAAACTTTAGATTTGTAGTCTTCTTCAACGCGCACTGTTAACGAAGCTGCAGTAAGGGATTATAAACCACTCTACGAGTACAAGGTAGGAAGGTTAATATTTCCCGATGGTTGAGTAATGGCTCCTGCCGATAGCCAGTTTAGGCCAATATTAGTGGAAATGACATGAGTATATTGGAAACATGGAAACATGTGCGAGTCTGATGATCCTTTGAGATGCTCTCGATTGACTCTCTTTTCTACGCCGACTTCTCAAAAATTGCATGGAACGTGTGAATCTTATAAGAGCTTTTTTTGCTCCTGTATTACGTTGTTTGATTTCAAGATGAACCATTCTGTAATCAAACCTTACTCAGTGTACTGCTCTCCGTGGTGTGTTTTGCATTCTGTGGTTAGCTACATGAAAAGGTAGGTAACCGCCTTTACAGAGAGGAACAAGAAATATTATATTTATCTTTAGCAATTACTGACTTTTTACCTACTAGCTACAAGCAGTGATTTTTGTTAGAAGAAATGCTTCCTTGAATCGCTGTGTTATGTAGAGACACTGGTGGAGTCTGGAAATACTCTCGATATGGCTATTAATATTTGAAGCAATGCGAAGTTTGTTTTGCTGACGCTTATGCATTTTAAAATAGTTCAGTTATCCAGTTAATTGGGCCAATCACATTCCCCTTAAGCATCCCTTTTTTCTATAACAATGACTGTGTTATGAAAACAGTTACAAAATTCCGTTTTCGTGCAATATAGCATTTTAAAGCGAGTTAAGATCAGCCAAATAAACTAACGAATGTTTCGGGACAAAATTCCTTTTCTCCCGCGGGCACACCATACTTTTTCGGGTCATACTTAGCATATAAATTTCCTCCCGGTTCCCTAGAAATCGCCTCCACCACGGCAAACAAATCACTGCAAGTTACGTCGACCTCGTTTTATTCTATTTAATCTATAACGTGTATGTGGTACCTAAGCAAAGCAATTCCATGCTGAACTGAGTACAACATAATGATTATGAAAACAACATAAGTATTAAATCAACGGAAAAAGACGAATGAATTCAACGCTTCTGTCTATTTCATTTAACATACTTCAAATCGGAGAACGATATCAAAGAGCCTTACTGACAAGTATCATAAATCGTTTTAAAATCCCAACGAAGAACGTTAATTTCGACAAACGACGCCGAATAACTGCTGTAAAAAAGAAAAGGAAAATGTATTTTCTATCCTTGTCAAGCGCCATCATTCGGTAGCTCTAAGCCTCACAGCATTTTTTAGCTCATTTATGGAAAAAACGGTGTTACTTCACTACATAGGGTTTACAAGCGAGTTTTGGTTGGGCGAGTGTCTCGGGACCACACTTTTATTGACCCGCGGGTGCACCATGCTTTCTCGGGTCAGACTTGGCGTATATTCCTTCAGGTTCCCTAGAGATTGCCTGTACCACAGCAAAGAAATCACTGCCAGTGACGTTGTGACCTAGTTGTTTTAAGCCTTCTATTACGTATTTGTTAATGCGATATTTCTTATTGTTTTCATAAAATACTCTCTGATCAGGCACCATTTGTGTGTGCAGTCGAGGTTCGTTTACCGCCTCAGACAAGTCATCTCCAAACCAGAGTTTGTTCATTAAGACCTGCAGACGCAAAGTATATAATTGCATTAGTACTGTATGTGCACAGTAGTAGCAAAGAAGAGCCGGTTTAAATCCACTGTTGGGGAGGAGATTACCAACTTAACGCTCTGATCCGCGCTGACAGGTTTACAAAAGAAGCTGAGTTCTTCTTTGCGCGGACCAATAAAAATAAAATATTTTCGTTTCACATTTTCGTGTTACTTTCAGCTCGTCACATCAAAAACGCACCGAAAATTGGGTAATAAAGGCGAATAGCTTGTAACTTTTACACTACAGATCTGTTTATCTCTTATACAACCGCGCGACAGTATTACTACGGACACATCTGTGCCTGCAGTCTTGATGTTCAACAGCATGCCGATGGACAGCGAACCAAATGGCCAAAATAGTGAGTACTTAGTTACGAAAATTTCCTTACGTGTTCAGTTTGTCTTTTTATTGGCCATTGTAGACATAACTGCGGTAAAATTTCCGTACAGCCCCATACTTTTGTAAAACAAATCTGTTTTCCCAATGATAATGTATTTTTTGGTCATTGTTTTCTCTATCCAAGAACTGAATGCATAATGTAGATGGGGCTGGCGGAGATTTTACCATAATTGCTACAAGTGTCTTCGGAAATGACTTTAAACGCTCCAGTTTTGCTCAGTTCTATAAGTAAGATAACATTTGTGCTTAACTGCACTCGCTTCGTCTGTGCCAGATCTATTAGTTTAATGACAAACTCTTCCAAATTTTTCGTTTGTCATGGAAGCATTCAGCTCGCTTAGTTGTATTATTTCGAAGCGTAACGTCTGTAAACCATGTGTTCGAATATATAATTGAGGCAAAACTCGTTCAAGCTGTTTCATTGTAGGGTAACGTCAAAACAACATAGGTGTGTTCATTTAATTAGTTTGTGTCTGATTTGTCCCCTTGAAGACATTTTTATTCTAATCGTCAGCTTGCGTGCGTGTGCGATGTTTTAAATAAATGCACCGTGCAGAACTAAGCGGAGCCTTTGTTCGGCAAATTAACGTAATTATTAATTGAGTACATTGTGATGTAATGGTAAAGAGTCTAGAAACGATCCTCCCTTTCTTTCTGAACAAAGCATTGACATTTATGTAGCCGTTAGGATCATGTCACAACTATGAGCAAGTTTACTCCTATCCAGAAATAAACAACAGCCTTGATGAGATTGCGTGAAACGGTATCCGTCGGCATTTGTAACTTGAAATGTCAGGCAATTTTTACCTGTGAGTACATTTTTTTCAATAAGTGCCTTCATCGTTTTCCTTAAATCACAAGTTTACCCTCAGTTTTAAATTTATTGTTCAGGTGTGAACATTTGTCAAATAACACTGTCAAGATACCTGACAAAAGTATAGTTTTAATGACGAAGTGCTCTGTATCTTTTACGTTCGATACTTGACGAAATTATTTTTGTTTGCGATTGTAATTCCAGTAGTATTTGTAATTCCGTTGTATTGTACACTGATTCTAAAATCATCCAAGGTTCGAGATTTATTAAAGGAAACAGGAGGAAAGGCTACTTGGAGAAGTAAGTGGCGGTGGTAAGAGCGAGAGTTCGTTTAGTTCAAGTAAAATGTTCATCGGGTGAAGAGATACAGTTCATGAATAAATCCATATAGGCACCGTTTACGTGTGAAAGGAACTCGTCAACGCCTACAATCATGCATATACAGACATAAACCGATTTACTGTTCCAGGCCGCCTCCATTTCTTTTGCTGAAAAATCCATATCAATAAATCAACTTTACTACTGGATTTCCCGGTTCATAATAAAGATATGTAGGGTGCTTGTCCTTTTGTTTCTCTGCTATCTTGATCTCTTCTCTCTGTGGATAAATTTGGGCGGAGTACCCATACTAATCAAATCCTGAATTTCAATAGCGTAGAAAAAAAGGATGAGACGTACCAGTGACACAGCTGTGGTTATCCTTTTCCCGCCAGAGGCACCGATAACAAGCCGAACTTTTCCTTCGTTATCGGTTAAAATGGTGGGACACATGGAAGAGAACGGTCGCTTGCCTGGCTCAGGAAAATTGAATGGGGATGGAGAAATACCATCCACTATTTCGTGACCAGGAATATCAAAATCTGCCATCTCATTGTTGTAAATGATGCCTGTTTCAGTGGATCGATATTTAGCGCCAAACCTGATGAAAAAAACAAAACAAAGCAACTTCATTACTGTTAGAGAAGCACAGGACAATGAAGTGAAAATTTTGCAAAACCGCTTTTGTAAGTCTCAAGCTCCAACTGAAAAAAAAACGTGTATCTAATATCAGACATTTTGGTGTGTGGTATCACTGAGTATTTTATGAAACTGAGCGGTATTTTTTGGAGCTCGCTAAGCAAGCAAAAATAAAAACGACGAGTTGTTTTACTGTACAAAATAACCAGCTGTCCAAATAGGGGTGACATTTGTACTCGAATCGAATGTTATCTGCACACTACTTATACAGTTGGATAATAAATTCAGGTAAGTAACTGGGAAATGGATCTCTGAGGTTATCCTCGTGTTAACCACTTTATCTTTCGAGCTGGGACATGACATGATTTTTAGAGAGCTCTAAGTAAGGGAACGATGACGAATACGAGAACGCGTTTTGACCGTGCGAGAAATGGTACTTGTGTCCCGTTCTCCTGATCGTGCAGGCGGAAATTGCAACTTGGATCGTAAACAAAGTCACGAGTCCGAGTACGAATGTTTTTGCTTTGTTAAGCAAAAAAAGCTATCCTAGAAGCACCCGTTTACCTACTTGGAGATGAAGAGAATGACGAAGGAGAATTCTGGGCTGTTTATGAAATCGTTACAAAGTGGAGAAAGCATCCACACAAGCACTGAGGAAGGATTCCAGATATTTTTGGCACCATTTCTCTTGAAGAGTTTCAAACAAGGTTCAGGTTTGGCATAACAGAGCTACCTCTCTTTCTTCAAGAATTCAAAATTTGGTTTTCTTCCTCAAGAGCTACCATACAAGTTGTCATCGTCTTATAACAACTGCAGCAGGCTCTTCTTAATTTTCCTTACCTCTATACTATGGTAACGAAAAACTCAAGCGTCAAAGTTGTATTGCGTCGAAAGCAATAGTCACATTCTAACAATTTTCAAAACCTACGAGTGCGGCTGTTTCCTGTGGTTCTTGTCGTCGAAGTAAGAACCAGGAGAAGCTACCCGTCCCGGGCCCTCAGTTATGGTGAACTCAAGGTTCACTGGTGCAATCCGTAATTCCAACTGGACTTTTCAGGTCAACTAACCTCATGTTGATAGTGGATGTCACAGAAACTGCGTCTCCATATTGGTCCAGTACAGCCACGTGTGTCGTACCGTAATCAGCGTTCGAAAAGGAATCCGCGTAATACGATACATTCGTGTAAGTCTTGTTATCCCATATTTTTTGACGAAGGTCATCACCAAGTTTTTGTTTTACCATTTCTTCTGCTTTCTTTGAAGATAAAAGTAAAACTGCAACGTATTACCTGATCCTTGAACCCTCTACATCCTAACATCAGTATGCATATTATACATACTGTTCTCTACACAGTTCCTAAAGTGCTGACAGGGAGAATTTGTTTATGAATAAAAATCTTCTTTAGTTGGTGATCATTTCCATTATTCTTAAGACCTTAATGTTTGATTCAAGGGTCATTCTTAGGGGTCAAACAGTTAAATGCAGTTTTTGATTTAGGGTCAAAATGATTTGGACTTGTTCCGTTTGCGATAATTCAGTCTTAGGTTGGATCGAAAATCGCATCGAAAAAACTTGCGCTTGCTAATGATATGCAAAGTAGATCAAGAAGAAGACTCTTAGTGAATCGAATTTAATTTAGTTACCGACGTTTTCCTGAAGCGTATTAACCCTTCAACTCCCATGAGTGACCAAGACAGAATTTCTCCTTACAATATCAATACAATATCAAGCAGGCAGGTGATGAGAATAGAGAAGAATATCAATTAGGAGATTATAAGGTGATTCAATACCAAATTCTCCAAACTAAAATCACAAGAACTGTATGGCAGCCATTAAGGAGAATTGCTAATGAGATCTTAGGAGCTACAGGGTTAACCCTGGAGACTAGTAATTATTCTTTGCCGGGGGAGAGGGGGGGTGGTGGATTTTTAGGGGGATCACATGGTGTTGGTGTTTCGGGGGGGGGGGCGAAGGGGGGGTCAGTCGAAGCTAGCAGTGTATAAAGGGGGGGATTGACTGCTAATTAATAGCATTAAGGGAAGATCATAAGAATATTACAGTACATTATGGGGGATCAGGTAAATCTTCACACAACCAAACTCCTGGTCATTGGCTGGTTGTTATTAACAAAACAAGGGAACTAGAATGAAAGTAGCTCTGCTTTGGATGTCCAAAGGGCAGGTTGGTTCTTCAGCCAGGTGTTTTTGTACCATTCCATCACTAACTGTAAAAGGTTTGTTACTTATGAACATTTTGGTTGTAGTTTGACGAGCGTGAACCAAACAACCAGTTAGACAAAAAATTAATGGAAATGTCAATTTTGTAACACCTGTTACATGTTACCTACTTTTTCTATCGTGGAGTTAAAATCGGGATCTCCAAGCAGACTGCGCCACGCATAACTGAACTTAAAAGATTCAATGATTCGATGATACGTTTCCACGGTGTAGTTTTTGTCATCGCGAGCTGATGATGTCATGTTGTAACCTACAATGGAAACATTCCACACTAAAAAGGAGGCTGGTTTCACGAATATCACTCTACTTAGATTGACACTGACTCACCCTTTAACTCCCATGAGTGACCAAGACATGATTTCTCCTTACAATACCAATACAACATCAAGCATAAAAGTGATGAGAATAGAGAAAAATGTGAATTAGAGGATTTCTAGTTGATCCAATACTAAATTCTCCAAACTAACATCACAAGAACTATATGGCAGACGGTAAGGAGAATATACTAATGAGATTTTGGGAGTTAAAGGGTTAAAATAAGTTTTTGTAAGATGATGGGTCGACCAAAACAGCTTTTTAATGTACATGTATTTATTTTATTCTCATTCAGCTCCAGTCAAGCTAAGGTCGCGATAAAGTGGTCAATGATTTGAAGATCGCTTAAAGCACTTAGCAGACATTTTCCATGTGCTCTAGGAGAATATTCTTTTTAAGGAAGTTGAATAGTCGTTTTGTCAACAACTCCTACCTCTTAAAATGTTTAAGATCAGTGCTAGCACAGCGCCACTTGTGGGTGGCGGGGTCAGGTACATTGTCATGTTCGTAATGTTACTCTGGTATGGCTCTCTTACAATCGGCCCATAACTCCTTAAATCTTCTTCAGTCACGCTCCCATTGACTTTCTTAACGTCACGCAATATGTCTCTGGCAAGTGCCCCACTGTAAAAGGAGTCAGGATCGTCACGCACTCTTTCCAGAGTCTTTGCGTACTTTTCGTTCCTCATAGAATTTCCTTTTTTAACCAGCGTATTGTTATCAATAAGGAGCAGCTCACTGAAATATTAAAAGTGAAAGAAGTGAAGATGTCAGAAAGAATAAAAACTGGCTTCCCTTCGAGAAATAAAACCCCAGGCCTTTTAAATCCTTGCTCCGAAGCTTAATTCCAAAGGGAGTCGGGAATCGGTCATTGGGGAGGAGGGATTTGATCCGTTCCCATCGTTGGCAATTAGTTAGCAGTCGATTTTAATCCTCCATTTATACAGTACTCTGTTTGTGACGGCTGATCCCCCTCTGTTCACCCTGAAAACCATGTGAACCCCCCCCTCCCCCAAAAAAAAAAGAATCCTTTTCACTCTCCTTCCTCTCCGGGTGATAAGTGATGACTCTCCTGTAAGCACGGTCGTTGCAATGCGCCTAACAGTTGTACTTGTTATCTGTAATTAAATCTGCACTACCACATAAACGATCGAGCGTGTGATTTACATTACAGTCAGATTTTGAATTAGTCTCACCGCAATCCCGGGTCGTTTTCAATATCTTTTTGGATTCCTTCTGTCGTATTAAGTGCATCTTCCACAGCTTCAGTTACGTTAAATCCATTTCTGGCCAAATCAATGGCGGGTTGAACAAGTTGTTTCCATGGTAACCGGTGATGTCGTTTCCAAGCCTCGTACATACCGCGCACTTCACCAGGAACAGCGATAGCCAGACCACCTTAAATGACAAAACGATTTGGTGAGTGATTTTATCTTTCTTTTTTTTTTTTAATTTCTAGAGATAACTTGAATAATCGTGATTATACTTAAACTAAGGTCTATTTTGGAAAGGTACAAAGGTCTAGAAGACTTTTTGCATATCTACGGTAGACCTTCCCTGTAAATATGTGGCTCAAGACAATCTCTATGGAGACACTTTTATTGCCGTGGTCCGATGAATTTCACAAGGAAATCTTGCGAAGGTTCTTCACAGTGCTCTTCAGTGAGACTTGATTAGCCAGTTTACGAGACAGATATGAGAGGTGGATACCAAGCAACGAAAATTTTGTGTTTGTGAGATGAATGAACTGTAAAGGTAGCAAATTTCATTTGTACTGGAGGATTCAAAATTAAGACATGTAAACTGATATATCACCATTTATTGATATTACATACCCCAAACAACTAAAACTATCGATGAACTTTGTAAAATCAATCAAAGAATCAACATGATCTTGGTTTTAATAAAGCAATAACAGGTTAACGACGAACTAAAAAAGTGTTTTAAACTACGAACATAATTGACTGACCTTTTTTGGATTTATTTTTATCGCCCTTAAACATATCCTTGTCGGCTGTGGCTGGGGCAGTTTCTCTAAAGTCGATGACTGTGGCATTCTTTGATGTTTGATTATAGATCAACATCACTCCCCCGCCTCCTATCCCTGATGAGTGCATGCTGACCACACCCAAACAGAACATGGCGGCGATTGCAGCATCCACTGCCGAACCGTTAGCTTTTAGGGTCTCGTTTCCGATTTTGGAGCACTGCAGTGTATCCGTGGCAACCGCTCTATTTCTGTAGGGTCCGCCAGATGATTTGTCAGATGATTTCCCAGATGATTGGTCGGGGGAATCTCCTTTTAAGTAAATAGCAAGGAGGCTGCTACCAGTCGTCAAAAGTGAAGTCACGCCCACAACCACGACTATTATGACTTTGCTAAAAAGAGAAGAGTCGGATTAAAGTATTGACTTGATTTTTAGGTCGCATAAAACTAAATGTGAGCGTTTGCCTCAAAAGAAAAGAGTTGGAACGATATAGCGTATATTATAAAAATACGTCCTCATTAGCGACCAGTTGTGGCGCACGAGTGGCGCTTACTACAAGACATTCGTTTATCATAGACTTCCTTATAATGATAAATACACAAGCCGAGTGTTTTTTCGATTGGAAGAAAGTCCCTTTATAAATGTGTCATTTGTGATTTTTGTCACGCAACCGAAACGAGGGTTTCCACGTGTTCAGTTGTTTTGTTGTGAAATTAAAATTTGAATATGCATCTAATTTCTTTCCTTAGGTCAAGGTACGCGTAGATTACTGCACATCATGGCTTAGGTTTGAGAACATTTCTTGAAAAGCTCAGGACTTCTGACAGTAATATTTTCCGATATATGTGTTGGAAACAAACGTCACGATACAGTTTGAAATAGTGAAGAGAGAAAATGCTATTCAGCTACATGTTAGATAAAAGATATTTTTATCAAGTGATATAAATTCAAATTTAAGTTGCTGTTTAAATTAACGTTCTGGTCGATTTTATTTGCGAATTGTCGCGGCAAACAGTTTAGACCCAATGAAGTTCGAATTATGTCCGCTAACAGCAGATACAATCGAAATTATCAAAGCGATATGAAGGAACATAATCAATATGTCGTAGGGATTAAAGTTTTCTGAGAAAACCACGTGGTAGATCACGCGATTTAGCAGAAAACCGATCGAGTGGAAAACTTTATGGACTACTCATGTAGCAGATACTTAAATTTCGTGACACATTCAGGTTGTAGGATATGACATTTATCTTTAGTGGTATTCATGTCATCACGGACTCGAACATTTCGCAGAATGTGAATCAATTGCGGTGTCATGCTTTTCAGAATTTTTCAAACTTGGGTCTTTGTATGTAAGTTCATTGCTTCAGAAACTGCACATTGAACATTGCTTTACAGAATACTGTGATAAACATTACACTTACCGTCTATCGCTTATCGTAGCTTCCATTTTGCAACGAAAACGCGTCTTAAGCGTTGCAAGGAAGTATAAAACTCGGGCTTGATTCTTACGGATATTCCTGAAACTTTAACCATACAAGCGCGTACCCCTACCCCCCGGGGATATGTACTCAATCTCTCTTGTTCTTAATTTACCTCGATTGAGTGGCGATATTAATATGTATCACAACAGGTCAGGTAAAGGACACGAGCTCTGTTTTATTAGCTTTCTGACTGGCATCGACCAGCTTTCTCGACTCATTTACTCCGATAAAAAATGACATTAAAGATTTCGATAAAATGTTTGGATTCTTCAGGGAAAGTGTATATTCCGTGTCCGAGTTTCACAGTCACTGACTTGATTTGCAGTAGATAGACCGAGGCAATATTCACATCAGTTCTTAGTGATGGAAGAATGGTTGTGACTGATTGGTTTAACCATTATATTCCGATATTTGAGTAAAGATGCTTGAAAATATATCTGCAGTTACCTTCAGACTCTGAAGCATTTTAAAAAAAAGTAGGTTTGTTAGCTTTCCTGAGCTTGGAGTTATTTCCATTAATTCTATGTGGTCTTCGACCTCGATCAGATCCATTTCGCTCATTAGTTTGGCGCTTTTCTGAGTTTGAAATACGGTTATTCCAGCATAATTATTCCTTATGTGTTGTTTTTGAACATTAATGGAGACCAAGCAAATGTGGATTTTGTCACATGGTTTAAACTTTTAGGAAGAACCATCGAAAAAGAATAAGTCCATTCATTAATTTTGGTACTGCCTTGTGGTTAACGTGGCTGCCTTGCAGTCTTTTGGTCCCTCAAGGCTACTGTACACAGTTTAACAACTAATGATTGACGCTGCCTTGTGGTTGACATAGCTGCCTTGCAGTTTGATGGTCCCTCAACGTTAGCGCCGTTTCATCACCTAATCATTTTATTTTTGCACTGCTTAATGGTACTGCTCTACTCAACAACTAACATTTTTATTTTTCATCGTTTTACACTTACTCAGTACACTTCCTATACACAAACTTCCTTTCCCTTAATTAACCCACTTTTTTTGTGGAGATTTGGGAACCCTTTCATTAGGGATTCCATAACTTTACTCCTCCTCCGATTTTTTGAAACATAGTGAACTGTAAAAATGAAATAGTACGTGTATATCTAGAATGCTGAATAGAATATCAGCGTGATTCAAAGTCTATCCCGTGTAGTTTTGAGTCTTACTTTGATATTCTTTTATTGTAGAATACTAACCTAGGTGGTTGTGCTTTTGTTTTGTTTTGTTTTGTTTTTTTTAAAATTAAGAATGACTCTGTTCTGAGAAAATCTGAAGAACGATTGGCGTTCAGCGCAAGATAGTTGTTTATCACAGACTTCTAGTCGGAAGAAAGTCCCCAAGGGCCTATTTACACGGTACGACTTTGTCGCATGCGACAAGCTTACGACAGGCTTACGACACGAATTGTTTCGTGTAAATCAAACCTACAACTCGCTTACGACTCTTAAGTCATGTCGTAGGCCTGTCGTAAGCTTGTCGCATGCGACAAAGTCGTGCCATGTAAATAGGCCTTAATGAATGCGTCACATTTGTGATTTTTGTCACGCAAACGGAACGACAGTTTCCACGAGAGTTGCTTTGTTTTGGAATTAAAATATGAATATGCATCTGATTTTTCTTCCGTGGGTCAAGGTACGCACAGATTAATGCACATCATGGCTAAGATTTGAAAATATTTCTTGAAAATCTCGGGATTTCTGTTATATGACCTGGAAACAAACGTCTCAATACGTTTTGAAATAGTGAAGAGAGAAAATGCTACTCAGCTACAGTTGGTTAAAAGATTTACCTAACAAGTGATATAAAGGCTAATTTTAGTTGCTATTTATAATAACGTTTTGGTTGATTTTATTTGCAAGTTATCGCGGTAAACAGTTTAAACCCATTTAACTTCGAATAATCTCTGATAACCGCAGTTACAATCGAAATTATCAAAGCGATATGAAGGAACATGATAAATATGTCGTAGGGATTGAAGTTTTCTGGGAAAACCACGTGGTGTAACGCGATTTAGCAGAAAACCGATCGATTGCATCGACTACTCGTGTAGCAGATACTTAAATTTCGAGACACATTCAAGTTGTAGGATATGACACATTTATCTTTTGTGGTATTCCGTGTCATTGCAGGCTGCATATAGAATTGGACATTTCGCAGAATGTGAATCAATGTGAATCAATGTCAATCCATGAGTTTCCAAACTTAGGTCTTTCTATGTAAGTTCATTACAACAGAGACTGCACATTGAACATTGCATATACAGAATACTGAGGTAAACATTATACTTACCGTCTATCGCTTATCATTTTGCGACGAAAACGCGTCTTAGGCGTTGCAAGGAAGTATAAAACTCGAGTTCGATTCTTACAGTGATAGAAAAGAGGGAAATCTTACTCCCGCGGGGAATTCAGTCAGTGGTTTCGTCAAGTACTACAACGCATGCACTTTAAGGTCAGATTTCATGTTTCATGTCAATACGGCTCGGAGTTCCAGTCGATTACAAGGCGTGAAACACTCTTTCCACCGTAGATTTCGAAGCACATTTTAAAACAAGAAGAAAATATAAAAGTAGATATAAAGTTTATTTGGTCGAGAGACTGATTATCCGGAGAAGATCGAAGAACGAGGTATGAAATGTTCGAACAGTAGATACAAAATGTTATAGTTGAGAAAAATATCATAGTTGAAGTCAATTTTATAAACAAACTGAGTATATTTTTTACCAATTTCAGGACTTTGAGTTTCTCGTGAAATGGAAGAATTGGACTCTTTGTACCAGCACGTGAGAACCTTCAGCTCATTTGAGTGAGCAACTTATCAGGTACTAGATTAAGTTTGTTTTAGGAAAGTGCGAGAAATAATCCTCCGTGCATGCAGCTTGGGTCCACACAAAGCTGATGCGTTCTTTTAATTAACAATCCTATAGGACCTTATACAGCAACCCTCCTGTCTCCGTGGAAAGGTTACAGAGTGTGTCAGCTTTGTTTATGGAAGGCATCCTATCTATCCTGAAGTCGAATGCAATCAAAGTTGATTATCCCTCTGAGTTGAGAGTGGATCATGATATTGTTAGATATGTTATAAGAGGAAAAAGTAAAAAAAGCACACGATGGAGCTAGCATGCTCAATAAAAAAGACGATTTTTCTCGCCTAGAGCTTCCTTCATATATGTGGTATTATTCATTATAAATGAGCTTGGAGAAGGAATAGCAGTTGACTTTCCTTTTAAGCTTAAAACTTCTCGCGATTCAAGTCATGTAGTGGTCAAATCAAATTAGTGCCAAATTTTCCAGTTGAGAAAGTTCTGTGATATTTCAACAGAATAGCATGTAATTCCACAAAAATTTAATTTTCTTTAGGGTAGGCGAACACAATAATCTGTCATATATGAATACAATCCATTGTCTGACAATAATAATTATTTTTGAAAATATATATATATATATATATATATATATATATGTATGTATACATGTACAAGCAAACAGGTAGAAGTTTGTGTATTCTTTTCAAGGAATTGAAATACATATGAAAATTATTTACATATTAAACTACACATGAAAGTTATTTACATATTAAAATACAGATGAAAATTATTTACATATTAAACTACAGATGAAAATTATTTACATATAAAACTACATATGAAAGTTATTTACATATTAAAATACAGATGAAAATTATTTACATATTTGTACAATCAATGCAATTAAATACTGAAACATGTCTACATCTTTATTGTTTTTGCTTTGTTTTGTTTTGTTTTTTTTTGCTGCTAAAAGTTATTAATGTGTCTTCAAAAGCTCAACCAGTGGACACTTTTTCATCCTTGCAATCCCAGGTGCTGTAAAATGTTTAGATTTTATTTCCTGTCTTATCCAATTGACAGTCATTCTGTTGTAAATTGCTTTCTGGTACTTCAGCTTCTTTATGGTTTACTAGGAGCGGTATTTCTTTGAACATAATCCTTTGTTTTATCATCTAAACTTAAGCCCCTGTCGTTATTGAAGCTGCCAAGGAAATATTTATTTTTTGAACAGAACAGGCTGGAACGGCTGGAAACAGCAGTCGAAAAAGCTGAAACACTTTTAAAACGATGTACAAATGCTGAGATTACACAGATAGATACGTCACTGAATACAGTCTTACCTGAGGAAGTCAGCGATGTTGGAAAACAAGCCGCATCTGATCTTGAAGGTCTTCGTCCATTCCGTTTCAAAGAAAACAAAACATTACTTGACAGTCTTAACTCTGACGGCATCGGCTCATTTCAAACTTATGTGACAAACACTTGCGCTGATCGGTCATCTGCCAAAGGGAAAGGAATCAATGAAGCGATTGTTGGACTTGAATCAAACTTTTTGTTAACAACGAGAAATGCCGAAGGAGAACAATGTTACGATGAGCGTGACTCTGTAACCGTGGAAATAAAAAATCAGCAAGGCCATGACTGTGCGACGGAAGTGCGACTCAAAGATGAGAGAGATGGTAGCTACAAAGTCAGATATTTCCTCAAAGATACAGGAAAATGCCAAGTATCAGTGAAAATAAATGAAGAACACATTTGTGGCAGTCCATTTCCTATCAAATCGAAACCCAGACAGTTCAGACACGTGTTATCTTTTGGAAAACAAGGCTCGTCCGTTGGAATGCGATGCTGTCCATATGGAGTGGCAGTGAATGAACGAGATGAAATTGCAGTGACTGATGGTGGTAACCACAAGGTTCAGGTATTCAGTAGTGATGGAACTTACTTAAGATCTTTTGGTAGAAAGGGTGATAAACAGGGCGAGTTAAATTGGCCTGCTGGGATAGCATTTAATAAAAATAGTCGCAGTATAGTAGTAGACAATAATAACAACCGAGTTCAATTGTTTAATGAGCAGGGTGAGTACCTGAGCCAGTTTGGTGGTGAAGGAAATCTTGATCACCAGCTGAAGAGTCCTTTGGGTTTATCTGTCGACAGGAATGGAAATATCATTGTTGCCGATGCGGGCAACAAAGTTATAAAAACCTTTTCTCCCAGT